TCATGATTTTTTCCAGTTCTTTTTCTTTGACTCTGACATCTCCTAGTACTGCGATGTCAATAAATTGTATGTTTCGGTTTTCGACAACTGTGATATCTGGCGTGTTGTGTTCCAAATGACGATCCATCTGTATTCGAAAGTCCCACAAGATCTTTACCTTCTCATTTTCTATAACTTTTCATCATCATCATCATCATCATCATCATCATCATCATCAAAAAAAGTAGGCTCTGCAAGCTCTGATCTTAAGCAGGGAAAAAGTAGGGAGATGTAACATGATGTACAAGTGGTCCTCGACTTATGACCACAATTGAGGCCAAAATTTCTGTTGACAAGTGAAACATTTGTTAAGTGAGCTTTGCCCCATTTTACACCCTTTCTTGCCACCGTTGGTCAGTGATTCCCTGCAATTGTTAGGGTTAGTACCACGGTTGTTAAGTGAATCTGGCTTCCCGATTGACTTTGCTGGTCAGAAAGTCGCAAAAGCGGATCACGTGTCCCCAAGACACTGCAACCATCATAAACAAGAGCCAGTTGCCAAGAATCTGGATTTTGACCACAGGGATGCTACAAAGATTGTTTAAGTGTGAAAAATGGTCATAAGTCACTTTTTTTCAATGCTGTTGTAACATTGTCACTAAATGAACTGTTGGAAGTCGACCTGTATACTACTAAATCACACAACACATTTTCTTGGCTTGTTGTTATTACATTCTAACATCATTTTTTTCCTGCATGACGGTCATTGACTGAAAGGATTGGACGCACATTGGTTCTAATCATCCTCTGTTTTTGATTAATGCCTTCAGAGCAGGGGTGAAATCCAGCAGGTTCTGACAGGTTCTGGAGAACCGGTAGTGGACATTTTGAGTAGTTTGGAGAACTGGCAAATGCCACCCCTGGCTGGCCCCAGAGTGGGGTGGGAATGAAGATTTTGCAATATCCTTCCCCCAGGAGTGGGGAGGGAATGGGGATTTTGCAGTATCCTTCTCCTGGAGTGGGGTGGGAATGGGGATTTTGCAGTATCCTTCCCCTGGAGTGGGGTGGGAATGGGGATTTTGCAGTTTCCTTCCCCTGCCATGCCCACCAAGCCACACACGCCCATCAAGCCACGCCCACAGAACCGGTAGTAAAAAAAAATTGAATTCTACCACTGCTTCAGAGGCAGGCAGGCAGGCAGGCAGGAAAAGGAAAGGAAAGGAAGGGGAGGGAAGGGGAGGGGAGGGAAGGGGAGAGGAGAGGAGAGGAGAGGAGAGGAGGGAAGGGAAGGGAAGGGAGGAGGGAGGGAGGGAGCGAGGGAGGGAGAGAGAGGGAGAGTGGGAAGAAGGAAAGGAGAAAAGAAAGAAAGAAAGAAGGAAAGAAGGAAAAGCCAGTCAGTGTAAGCTTAGCAATGCTCTTCATTTTCTTTTCTTTAAATAAAAGATGACAGAGTTTAAGGAACTTAAGAACACCAAATGCTTCCCTGTCTATCTAAAACCTTGCACATTCAGTTCTAGGTTTGTGTAACACGTTGTTGTTTGCAATACTTCTGCAGTAACTATGTTTCAGACAACCGGCAGATACAATTAAATCCTTGATTTATAGCCACTTGGGACCAGAGTCTGCTTCAGCCTCCTGGTGTGGGGCTTTGGGCGAAGGCTGGAGGAAAGGGCCGCTGGTGGTGAAGAGCCAGAGGGCCTTGTTCCAGGGAGACTGCATCATGGCCTGGAACTGACCATCTCATCCTGCTGAGCCTCCAGGCACTGGTACCTGGCCTTGCACTCCTGCAGGTCTTCCCTCTGCTTGGAGAGCCTATGCTCGTAGTCCTCAGTGAGGTGCTTCTGCTGAGCCTCCTTCTCGGCCAAATCCAATTTGAACTGAGCCAGCTGTTTTGCCAACTCTTTCTCGTGGTGGCTCCAACAACTGCTCCATGTTGGGGCCCTAAGGAGTCTGGGTGGGCAGGCGAGGAGTGGTTGGAAGGGGAGGGGTGGGTAGAGGCTGGCGAGGCACTCCTCGACATGAGTGACATCGAGTTGGCCATGCCCACCAAGTCACATGATCACCTAGCCATGCTTACCTAGCCAATCATCAGCCAGATCATATTAGTGGTCTGCGGGATTTAAAATTATGAATTTAGTGATCCCTGAGGTCCGAAAGGTTGGTGACCCCTGACCCAACTCAGAAACTTACTTACTTACTTGGTCAACTGCAGTGATGAAAACATCTCTGTGGATGTTATTTCAAAAGGACAGGCCTACCAGATGGGATGACAGAAAGGAACTTAGTGCTCTGTCATTGGTTTCTGGTCCTTCAGAATATTGTTTACCCTTTGTTTTTTTCTTGGGCAAGTGAACCGTAGAGCTTTTCTTGGTGTTCTTGGAGCCTTACAGACATTTTTGTGGAGAAAAGTTATGCTGAAGGTTGGCGCTATGCTACCATTCGAAGTTCACCTGATTAAAATAAGCTAAGCTATTGTTTCTCCTCCTCAGCAACTTTAAGACGAATGGACTTCAACTCCCACAATTCCTCAGCCAGCATAATCTAAGCAAATAAGCATAGGAGTACCAAAGTTTCTGGCAGGTAGACCAATGAAGGTTACTCTCACATGAGCTATGGTTATGAGGACTTTGGACTCCATTGGTTGCCAACAAAGAGGCACAATTTTTGGTATCCTTTCACTGATAATAAGTAGTTGTCCAGATATACGCAGATGAGTTGTTCCTTATCACTGGGTTATGTAACTGGAGAACAATATGTTCCATCAACATGAAACCGCAATAAGGTGCAAACCAAAAATTATTCATGCCCTTAAAAAATGCAGTTCCTGTTATTCTAACCTTGACTGAAAGGAAAAGATGCATAATCTTTTTTTCTGGAAATCAAACAAAACCATAACATTTCCTGTGGGTTAGACAGCATCACCATCAGATGGATTCGTAACTGGCTGACCAACTACACTCAACATATAGTTCTCAATGGAACTGCATCTACATGGAAGGAAGTATGCAGTGGGGTACCCAAAGACTCTGTTTTAGGCCCAGTACTCTTCAACATCTTCATCAATGACTTGGAAGTGGGGATAGATTGGGAACATCAAATTTGCGGATGACACCAAGCTAGCAGGAATAGCCAACACTTCAGAAGATAGGCTTAAGATACAGAAGGATCTTGACAGACTTGAACATTGGGGGCTATCTAACAAAATGAAATTCAATGGTGAAAAGAGTAAGGTTCTACATTTAGGCAAGAAAAACAAAATGCATAGATACAGTATATGTGGTACCTTGCTCAATAATAGTAACAGTGAGAGGGATCTTGGAGCCCAGTGGACAACCATTTAAACAGGAATGTAGCAGCTGCCAAAAAAGCCAGCACAGTTCTAGGCTGCATAAGCAGAGGGAATGAATCAAGATCGTGTGAAGTGTTAACATCACTTTATAATGCCTTGGTAAGGCCATAGTTGGAATACTGCATTCAGTTTTGATCGCCACAATGTAAAAAAGATGTTGAGACTCTAGGAAGAGTGCAGAGAAGAGCAACAAAAATGAGTAGGGGCCTGGAAGCTAGGCTAAAATATATGAAGAATGGTTGCTGAAACTGGGTATGTCTAGTTTAATGAAAAGAAGGATTGGAGGAGACATGATAGCAGTGTTCCAATATCTTAGGGCTGCCACAAAGAAGAGAGAGTCAAACTATTCTCCAAAGCACCTAACGGCAGGACAAGAAGCAATGGGTGGAAACTAATCAAGGAGAGAAGCAATTTAGAACTAAGGAGAAATTTCCTGACAGTTAGAACAATTAATCAGTGGAACAACTTGTCTCCAGAAGTTGTGAATGCTCCAACACTGGAAGTTTTTAAGAAGATGTTGGATAACCATTTCTCTAAAGGGGTGTAGGGTTTCCTGCCTAACCCATCTCCTCGTACTTATGACTGTATGACTATAAGTTGTTGCTGCATCCTTATGATTTATATTGATTGTTTCCTAGCCTTGTTTCCGGTCAGCTAAACAATGCCGGCTGGCGGGCCCCCAGGGGAGGGCCTTCTCTGTGGCTGCCCCAGCTCTCTGGAACCAGTTACCTCCTGAAGTCCGGACCATCCCCACCATATTGGCTTTCCGAAAACCGATGAAGACCTGGCTTTTCTGGCAGGCCTGGGGCCGTTGATCTCGCTCTTGTGATCTAGCGAGATCCAGCCATGAATGACGTGAATGAGTTTTTAATGTTTTAATGTTTTTAATTTTTAAATGTTTTTTTATAATGATTTTTTTAAATGTATTGTGAGCCGCCCTGAGTCTTCGGAGAGGGGCGGCATTTTTATATATATATATATATATACACATATACATACATACATACATACATACATATATATATATATAAATTAAATTAAATTAAATTAAATTAAATTAGTATGATTTGATTGCTTATTTGTACCCTATGACTATCATTAAGTGTTGTACCTTATGATTCTTGACCAATGTATCTTGTCTTTTTATGTACACTGAGAACATATGCACCAAAGACAAATTCCTTGTGTGTCCAATCACACTTGGCTAATTAAAGAATTCTATTCTATTCTATTCTATTCTATTCTATTCTATTCTATTCTATTCTATTCTATTCTATTCTATTCTATTCTATTCTATTCTATAAAACCTCCAAGGACTCTTCCACCTCTGTTATTCTATTTTCCTTCTACTTGGATTTACCTGCTTCATGTAAGAAGAATGAGAGAATGAGAGAGAGAGAGAGAGAGAGAGAGAGAGAGAGAGAGAGAGAGAGAGAGAGAGAAAGAGAGAGAGATAGAAGAGAAAGAAAGAAAGAAAAAGAAAGAAAAAGAAAGAAAGAAAAGAAAGAAAGAAAGAAAGAAAGAAAGAAAGAGAAAAAAAAAGTCACCCTAAGCAGCAATTTAATATCCAAAGTCTATTTCCCATTATTTCCACATCATTAAATTGTTGCCCCACAATTTGTGTAACAAGTGCAAAGGAAATTGCTCCACCAGCATAGGAGAACTAGAAGTTTGTGCACATTTAGCTCACAGCAATGTTGGGTACTACTGTTTTATCTTTTAAACTCTACACTTCAACTTGGGTGGGAAGCGGACCCAAGGTAGGGAGAATCTTCTGATAGGGTGTGACGGAAACAAAGAACAAAAACAGGTTGCGATAGCATACAAATAGATCAAAACCAGCTAAATTAGAAGTGCTGAGGAAATTGTGTGCCCATGCGCAGAAGAGGCATATGCATGCATAGCATGTGCAGGTTCCCGCATGCTCCCGTTCCCAAACCAGTAGTGAAGGTAAGTGGATTTCACCGCTGATGGTAACCCTTAGCACAGGAGTTGGTCCCCAGCATCTGATAAACCTATAAAACCTATCAAGAAGACTCACAACAATTATGTTACTCATTGCAAACTATCAGATCTGAACCGCAAATACCCGGACAGCCATTAGATCCTGGGAAAGTTAAATTATTGTGTCTCTCTTTCTTCACCAAGTATTGGTCATCCAGATTTTTTTCAGGTTTGGTAGGCCTGTCCTAGGAGCCTCCCTATACTTGGAGTTGGCCCTGACTTTTCACTCTTACACAAGCCATCCTTGAAGTTTTTTTGGGGGGGGGAATCATAGAAGCTCTACCACATTTCAAACAAAAAATTAATGTTGGTGGACAATGAAACAGAGCACTATAATTGGGCACAAGAAGGAACCTTAATTTCAGGGGTGGGATGGTTTTGTTTATTTTCCCAGTTCTTCCTCTAGTTAAGTTTTGACACGTTGCATTAGGCCAGCTGGCAATACTCCCAACGCAGGCCTCTTCTGAATGTTCTTGGATGGGAAGCCCAAAAATTATCATCGTAGGGGACTGATTTACAGTCTGTTGTTAACAAGCTAAGAACTATGAGGCTCTTAAGATGGAAGAAAAGAGCAGCATCTAGGATTCTAATCAGGGGTGGGCTTCAAAAATGTAAGCCCACCCCTGGTTCTCTGCCTGGTTGCTGAGTGGGCATGGCTATGGTGGGTGTGGCCTAGTCGGCCTGCACCATGGCAGGAGGGGTGTTTTTGCCTCCGGGGTCCGGAGGCTTTCTTTGACCTCCGGGAGGGCAAAGCAGCCTCCCCAGGCTCCAGAGGCCCTCCGTTTCCGGCCTTCCCAAACTTCTGGTAAGCCCATTTTTCACCCTCCCCAAGCCTCTGTGCATGCCCTGCACTCACCTGCATCCAAAAAGATGAGAATCCTCCCATGGGGATTCCTGGGAGAGGTGGGTTGGGAGGGGCCATCCAGGAATAGGATTTGGGGGTTCTCCGAACTGCACAGAATCTTAGTTAGACGTTCTCCCGAAGCCCTGCAAATCCTCAGCATCCCATTCCTGATTCTAACAATGTTTTCTGCTTCTCTTCTCTTTTTTCACAGTGCCTACTCCACCTTCTGACCTCTTAACGGGACCATGGCTAGTTGTATTGAAAACCAGAACAGTACATCTAACAAGCCTCTGTCAGGTGCGTCGATAGGCATAGGGGTGCTGTCGCTTGCCTTCATCTTGGGATTCCCTGGCAACGCCTTTGTAGTGTGGACGGCCATCTGCTGGGTTCGCAAGCGGACGGTCACCTGTCTCCTCATCCTTCATTTAGCCATCGCTGATCTGGCAGTGCTCCTCACAGCCCCTCTCTTCCTGCGATTCCTCAGTGCCAAGAAATGGGAAATGGGTCAGGCCGTCTGCCAAATCTGCTACTACATCTGTGGGGTCAGCATGTATGCCAGCGTTTACCTCATTGCTCTCATGAGCCTTGACCGCTGCCTGGCTGTTTCCAAACCTTTCGTCTCACAGAAAATCCGTACCAGGCGCACCATCCGGCTTTTGGTGTTCGTGATTTGGGTGATGAGTCTTTTCTTAGCGACTCCTGCTCTCCTCTACCGGAAAGTGGTTGATCGTAACAGCACAGAGTACTGCATACTGTGCCACCAAGAAGACAAGGAGTTGGTCTTCCATAACCTCTTTGAAACCATCACCGGGTTCCTGCTGCCTTTTGCCATTGTCGTCTACAGCTACGGAATGATTAGCCAACGACTCAAGGAGACCCGTTTCCGTCAGAAACGCCGAACCAGCCGACTCATTAGCCTCATTGTGATCGCCTTTGCTTTTTTCTGGCTTCCTTACCATATCGTCAACCTTTTAGATGTGATTGGTCTGTGGAGCGGCTCGCCGAAGGTTAAAAAAGCAGGGAGTATGGCTAGGCCCATTTTGGTGGCTCTTGCCTTCTTCAGCAGCAGTATCAACCCCATCCTTTACACTTTCAGTGGAGGCTCCTTAATCCGGTCATCTGGTATCGGTTTCATGGCCAAACTCTTCGAAGGAACAGCCTCGGAGATGTCGAGCGTAAAACACGGGACCGCCCGGGACCGAGATGTCAAGACAGAACCCTCAAATAATGGGAAACTCGAGTTGTTAACTATGTCTACTAACCCTACAGATAGTAGCTCAGCTCAAGAAGCTGGAAAAAGCTCCAAGCTGCTCCCATCAACTTGAAGCTACAGACAAGGGTGGACATTCAGAATTTTGTTATCAGGTTGTTTTTTTAAAAGATCTTCTGAACTGCTGTAGAAATGTTGTCTCTTACTTATCTCCATATCTTCTTCTTTTATATGAGGTAGACAGTTTCATTTCTTACTCATTTCATTCTGCAACACAGCTTGCATTTGTTGGCAACGAATTTCAGGGACTAAAAATGTTTAAAAAAAAAAAAAAACAACCCTGTCATCATATTATAATATTATGTTTAGAAAGGATTCCCAAGGATTGTTGCAAGAAGGGTGGAAACCTCTCTGAACATGTGAAAAGGTGGATCGAGGACTTTGTGTTCATTAAGTGCTAACTTTTAGAGACTATGAAACTTGCATACAGTCTGTCTCCACCCTAAATCTATATCTAAAATCAAAGCAGGCTTTGTCCAATTTCACTTTTAGACAAACACAAACTCTTGTTTCCTCTTTTTTCCCACTTTCAAATCAATTGACACAACTTTTGTGGAACACTTCCCTCCTTGTTTTTATCCATTAGTTTGCAATTGTCTTGAGAGAAGAAAAAATGTGCTTAATGGTTTGTTTAACAATTGATATTCCTTTTTTGAGATCTTCCCTCTTTTCATCTTCTATTTAATTATTTTTGTTAATATTTTTGTTAGTATTATTGAAGTGTTTTGTTGTCCTGAATCTTATTATTTCATTTTCTCTCCTCTCTTATCTATCTATCTATCTATCTATCTATCTATCTATCTATCTATCTATCTATCTATCTATCTATCTATCTATCCAGCTATCCAGCTATCTAGCTTTCATCCATCATCTATCTGTCTCCAGAGAAAAAGGGGTCATAAAGAACTTAAGTCCTGATATCTGAAAAAAAATCATTGCTGTATCCCTCTAAGTGGCCAATAGGAGAAATTAATGCTCAAACATGTTGAACTGTATTTCGTATCTACATTACAATAAAAAGACATTTATTATATATAATTAGCACCTGACTATAGAATTACATGCAAGGGCAAGTGTTTGAAATAAGGGATGGAAGTTGGAGCATCATACATTTGAAATTTGGATGGCATTCACTGTGCAACACTGCAGCAGGATCTTATGGTGGACTTTCACATACAAACTTTTTGTTTGCTTGTTGGGACAATGATTAAAAGAAGGTTTGCTTAAGGGTAATTGAAAGTTTTGAAGCGGAAAGGCAGGAGACCAAAACATTGCAGAACAGATAAAATTGGGCCACTAGATCAACCTTCCTTCCATGTCCTAAATTACAGGTAGTCCTCAATTTACAACAACAATTGGGACCAGAATTTCAGTACCATTGTAATTTGGTTGCTAAATGAATGGTTGTAAGTTGAGGATTGCCTGTCCTGTCTTCAGGGAGGGGGTGTAGGGATTGCTGTCTCTTAAACAGCCCTAAAACATGATGCAATTTACCAGCTTAGTCTGCCATATTGTTCTTTGCTTGGCAGCAAGCTTTGGGACAGCTCCAACTCTTTGAATCAAAATAATCAGCCTATTTAGTCCTTCAAGGAGGCCAGTGATGCTTCTGGGATTAGATAGTATTTTGATTTCACAAAAAGGTATTTCAGAATTCCAAGAGATACTGAAACACAACTCTTGAAAGCAGCCGTGTCTTTCCCGGGGATCTTGTGACAGCTACATTTGACAAGACACGGCTGCATTCAAGAGCTGCAGTTAGAGACAATCTTTCCCTTCCTGTGCACTGGAAAACATACTTTTCAAATTACAGGTAGTCCTTGACTTACAGCAGTTCATTTTGTGACCGTTCAACTTTCCAATGGAAACTGAAAAAAGGGACTTACGGCCGTTTTTCACACTTACAACCATTGCAGATCCCCTTGGTCATGTGACCAAAATTCAGATGCTTGACAACAGATTCATATTTATGATGGTTGAAATAACCAGGGATCATATGATCCCCTTTTAAGACCCTCTGACCAGCAAAGTCAATGAGGAAGCCAGATTCACTTAACTTCGTTGTTGTTGTTAGTTGCAAAGTCATGTCCAACCCATTGCGACCCCATGGACAATGTTCCTCCAGGTCTTCCTGTCCTCTACCGTCCCCCGGAGTCCATTTAAGCTCACGCCTACTGCTTCAGTGACTCCATCCAGCCACCTCATTCTCTGTCGTCCCTTTCTTCTTTTGCCCTCAATTGTTCCCAGCATTAGACTCTTCTCCAGTGAGTCCTTCCTTCTCATTAGGTGGCCAAAGTACTTGAGTTTCATCTTCAGGATCTTGCCTTCTAAAGAGCAGTCAGGGTTGATCTCCTCTAGGATTGACCGGTTTGATCGTCTTGCAGTCCAAGAGACTCGCAGGAGTCTTCTCCAGCCCCAGAGTTCAAAGTTCATTTAACTACCGTATTCCTAACCTAACAACTGCAGTGACTCACTTAACTGTGGCAAGAAAGATCATAAAATGGAGTAAAATTCACTTAAGAACGGTTTTGCTTAGCAACAGAAATTTCGGGCTCACTATAAGTTGAGGAGCACCTGTATTTTCAAACCCTACACACCCCTCATGTTTGCATGCAGCACGTTGCAATTTTATCAAAGCTCAGAAATATTCCTTTTCCTCTCTAAATTAATACAGGACCTTGGGAAATTTGACATCTGTTTCTGCACTATCTGCAGACTCTGAAAAGTGTGTGTGTGGGGGAGGGGGAGGAAATATTTTTTATCAACTCCCAGATTTTTATGTGAGTCATGCACATTCCTAGAAATTCTTCCCATTAACTCCATCAGCAGGTGAGTAATGCTGTTGTGGGAATCTGAAGAGATTCTCAGAAGGAATGTTTGAAGCCTGACACAGCAGAATTAATTTTCTGATAAGATGCAAGCAAAGATTCTGTCATGGCTGCATCTCACCTATCCAAACGTTGTGAATTGACAGCCTGACATTAGCGCGTGGGGTGTGGGGAGAGAAAGATTGGAATGTAAAGAAGAGGGGGATGGAAACCCACTTGAGCCCTGGGGGAAGCCAGCCAAGGTCAACTAAGGATATGCAGAGCTGGGGACCATGGAACTGAGCACCTGTTTCCTAAACAATATGCAAGAACCTGATTGGACATTTGCAGATAACTGGGGGGTGGGGGGGAATAACCGTGGGAAGGAGGGAAGAGAAAGAGAGGGAACTTTCCTTTGTGTTGTTTGCACAGGAAAACCTCAGATTCAGTTTGCGCTACTTCTGTAATACTTCAGTTTCAGAACTTCAGAAGTATATTCAGAAGTATATTCTTGGCCAAACAAATGGCCAGGTGTCTGTCTTTGCTAGATGACTGAGTGGAAAGGTTGACAGTTTCATGCAAAGGCTGTGTACACCTGGGGAGCTCATCCTTCACGGGTATATTGAATGCAGAGCAGTTTTTCAGGAATCGAAATGCAATGGCTCACGTGGTTTTGTGCAGAGCTCAGCACACAGGTGTCATCTCTCTAGTGGGAGCTGCAATGGGTTGCCAATTTGCTTCTCGATGCGATTCAAGGTGCTGATTGTCATCTGTAAAGCCCTTCATGGCTTGCGACTAAGTTATCTGGTCACATCCACCTGAACCACTAGAGCAGGGAGGCAAGGAATGTTGCGGGTCCTGTCCCCTAAGGAAGTACATCTGGTGGGACCCAGAAGGGCCTTCTCCATGGTGGCTCCTTCTCTTTGGAATCTCATCTCTTCAGAAATTAGACTGTCCCCCACTTTGATACTCTTTCATAAAGCCCCAAAGACTTGGTTTCACCAGTGGACCTGGGCAGGGGTGGGCGTCAAAAATTTTAGCGAGGGGTTCTCTCCCAGTTGCTGGGTGGGTGGGCGTGGCCATGGTGGGTGTGGCCTAGTCAACCTCCTGCACCATGATGGGGGGAATTTTTGCCCTCCTTGGGCTCCGGAGGCTTTCCTTGAGCCTCTAGGAGGGGGAAATGTCCTTCCTAAGCCCTGGAGGCCCTCTGGAGGCTGGAAATAGGCCCAAACTTCCAGTAGCCACTTTTTTGTCCTCCCCGAGCCTCCACATGTGCCCTGCACTTACTTGCATCCAAAATGGGCAGTGTGGGGACTCCTGGGAGGGGCGGGGTGGATGGGGCCAGCCAGGAGTGGGATTTGGGGGTTCTTCAAACTGCACAGAATCTGCAAATACCCAACAGGCCAGTCCTGGACCTGGGGAACCCAGAGTGAGCTGGAGTCCATCAAATGGCTCATTTGATTGTATGTTATCACCTGGATGGGTGGGTGGGTGGGTTATTGTTGTGTAATTTTTATTTTCTATACTGTGTTTTTATTGCTTGTCAGCCACCTAGAGTCACTGTGAGCAAGTAGTCGGCTATATAAATTTTCTAAATAAACAACATGTTTCATTTGGCACCCTTCGGGTTCTCATATAACTCATTTGTATCTCTTTAAGGCAGCATTTAAGGGCTCTTTTCTTTTCCTGGTAAAAGCAAAGTTTTTCTACTCCCATCAATAAATGCTTTTTTAAAAAAACAAATGGCCAAGAACTTCAGTTCTTAGGAGAAAGGCCTGCAACCCCTGTGAATATTAACAGAAACAAAGCAACCCAAAACCAACCAAATAAGTCCTTGGATGACTAAAGATATACAAATAAAAGAGATAACACTGTTTATTTTTGCAAGAATTTAAATATGCCAGTTTTGGTTGTAAAGGACACACGTACACACACACAGAGTGAGGGGTGGACACACAGAATTGGAATAGAGAGACATTTTTTTTCTGGCAAGGCCTCCTTTTACATCAGTAAAAGACACCGCATAATCCAATTCCTGGAAAACTTACAACAGAGTTCAAGTAATATTTTTTGCTTTCACTCATTATAAATGACTGGAAATCTCAGCTAAGGAGATTTCAGGAAGAAGTTGCTCCTGTTGCATTCCAGTCAACACCAGCACAAATCACAAACTCAACCATGTGGCAAGGAAAAGTTTTTTTTTTAAATCCTCAGAATGGACCTAATTTATTAAATATGATACTTTAAGGGAAGAAAGTAGGAAGTGTTGAATGTCGCACCCTTCAGGTAAAGGTAAAGGTTCCCCCTCGCACATATGTGCTAGTCATTCCCAACTCTAAGGGGCAGTGCTCATCCCTGTTTCAAAGCCGAAGAGCCAGCGCTGTCTGAAGATGTCTCTGTGGTCACGTGGCCGGCATGACTCAATGCCAAAGCCGCACAGAACGCTGTTACCTTCCCACCAAAGGTGATTCCTATTTTTCTACTTGCATTTTTAACGTGCTTTCTAACTGCTAGGTTGGCAGAAGCTGGGACAAGTAATGGGAGCTAACCCCATTATGCGGCACTAGGGATTTGAACCACTGAACTGCCGACCTTTCTATTGACAAGCTCAGCATCTTAGCCACTGAGGCACCACGTCCCTTCAACTGTCTGGCAATGCTTTTCCCAGGTTTTCCTTTCACCATTAGCTAAGGGATACTGGAAGTTGTAGATTAGCCTCTGGAAGATCATGGATTTTCCATTCCTGCTTTAAAGCCACAATGCAGACATTAAATCTCAGTGCTGTACACTCCCTTTTTTGTATGTGTAAAGTTTATGCTGCAATTGTTTAAAACACATTTGCCATCCTCCCCCCCACCCAACTCTACATTGGGTTCAATGAGTGAAATGACTGAGAAACGAGAAAGAAGGAGGAAGGGAGGGAGGGAGGAGGGAGAGAGGGAGGGGGGAGGAAGGAAGGAAGGAAGGAAGGAAGGAAGGAAGGAAGGAAGGAAGGAAGGAAGGACAATATCCATGTTCCAATATCTCAGGGGCTGCCACAAAGAAGAAGGAGTCAATCTATTCTCCAAAGCATCTGAAGGCAGGATGAGAAGCAATGGATGGAAACTAATCAAGGAGAGAATCAACCTAGAACCAAGGAGAAATTTTCTGAAGGTTATAATAATTAATCAGTGGAATGCCTTGCCTCCAGAAGTTGTGGGTGCTCCAACACTGGAAGTTTTTAAGAAGAAACTGAAATGATATAGGGTTTCCTGCCTGAGCTGGTTATTGGACTAGAATATCTCCAAGGTCCCTTTTATTCTTTTATTCTGAAACAAGGAAGGAAAAGAAGGAAAGAAAGAGGGGGGGGAGTGGGCAAAGAGATCCCCTTAGTTGTTAAGCTCCTTTAACCACAAGAACCTGCTTTTAAACTTGTCCAGGCAAACATATGTCAGCCTTGCAAAACACACAAACCACAAACAAAAGAAGAAGTGTTGCTGGGGTATCAAGCAGGAAGTTGACCTAGAAAGAATGGCAGGAAACGGTAGCATTTTCTGTTGCCAATCTACTTCCATCAGATATATCTGAGTCAATACCCAACCAGCTTTATGCAACTAGAGAATACCCCAGTAATACCAGTAGAGTAATAACTTCTCTACTGCCTTCATTCTCAAATTATCCTTAAATTTGACCTGACTGTTGAGATATCTGCACAACCCATAATGTCACTAATGTCATGTATTCAATCTTCAGAGGCTTTATGAAGCCAATCCTTAATTTTGTTTGAGAGTGGGTTGAGTTTAAAAGTCTTTTGGACATGATGGTTGTGGATTGGTAATATCAGTACAGATTAGACTGAAAGATGGTTGTGAACAAGCCATTATCAAGCACCACAGATTAGTAAACATGTAGAACACTGAAGGTCCTCAAAGGAGGATCCATTGTCTCCAAGTTGACTGGAGAATTGCAGCTTTTTTTTTTTTCGGATTAGGAGAAAGTTCTAACTTGTCTTCTCAAGAGGATCACCAAATGTTCTTAGTGGCTCACTTCTGCTCACTTGCAATTACAGTCAAACATGGGTTTGCTGAGGTGGTGGAGCTGGTGATTTCCTCATACACAAGACAAAATGGGACTTCCTTGGGTTCTGTCTCTCCCAATTCTCATGGTAAATTCCTCTTCCGACAGAATCAGAAAGGTCTGTTAAAATAAGTCACCTGCTGTCCCCCAAGTACCGGAAGGAATTCACCTAGGATTCCAACTCTCAAGAGTCTCAGTTTCATTCCATTCCATGAGATTTAGCTCAACATTGGTGCTTGGGAGCAAGAACGGGCTGTTTCTGTGCAGACAAAGTAAGTTCTCAGTTCACCTTTGCCCTTGACCTTGATAACCCCACGAAGGGAGCAAGTGTAGCCTAACGTCTCCAAAGCTTTAGCCGTCTCTTCTGTGACCTAGGAGAAGAAAGAAGGAGAATGTAAAGGTGGTTGATATAGCTACAGCTAGATGACTGAATCTTCATTTACATTAGCAATATGTTTTGGGGAGGAAACCCTTGCACTTGGTATGGCAAGAGTTAGTACAGGGCAGTGGTGGAATTCAATTTTTCTTTACTACTGGTTCTGTGGGGCGTGGCTTGGTGGGCGTGGTGTGGCTTGGTGGGCATGGTGTGGCTTGGTGGGCGTGGCTTGGTGGGCATGGCAGGGGAAGGATATTGCAAAATCTCCGTTCCCATTCCCACTCCAGAGGAAGGATGCTGCAAAATCTCCATTCCCACCCCCACTCTAGGGGAAGGATACTGCAAAATCTCCATTCCCACCTCATTCTGGGGCCAGCCAGAGGTAGAATTTGCCGGTTCTCAAAATTTCTGCTACCGGTTCTCCAGAACCTGTCAGAACCTGCTGAATTTCCCCTATACCAGGGGTGTCAAACTCAAGGCCCGCAAGCCAGATCTGACCCATAGAGTGCTTAGATCTGGCCCGCGGGGCCACCCTGGAAACAGCAAAGGACTGGCCCACAGTGCCTCTGCCAGTGAAAAAAGAGCTCAGGAGGGCTGCATGTGGCCCTCCTGAACTCAATTTTCACTGGCAGAATATGGCAGGAGGCCGTCACAGCTGAAAACGGAGCTCGGGAGCCTGTTTTAACTGACACAGCACTCAGGCCACCACAGGCACCACCGACACAAGTGGTATCAAGCTGGCCATGCCCACCCCAGCCCCATTCAACCCGGCCCCCGAAGTCACACACAACCCTGATGCAGCCCTCAATGAAATCAAGTTTGACACCCCTGAGTTAGTACATTCCAATCACTCTTTGACTCTGCCTAATGTAATTTTTTTTTTCATTTTGACTGAAGAAGTTACTTGGATGAGTAATGAAATGAACCAGTTTCATAAACTTTGCTCCAGTTGCCATGATTTCACCTTTTTAGATATAGCTATACAATTATTTTTGTCCTCTCTCATTCGCCAATTTTTAACTTATTTATTACTGTTCCTTTCCAAATGAATGGTATAATTTTTTATTAATGGGAAGAAGAAACTTTGGGTTTTATTTGGCCCAAGAAGATGTCGAAAGTTTCAGCTGAAGTCCCAAAGATGCTTTCTTTCAAAAAGCAACTGGATTTTCTTGTTTTGTTTTGATTTTCTTTAAAAACATTTAGCTTCTTGGGTGAGAAGCAAAATGTTTTCAAGAAAAACAACAACAACAACAAAAAGAAAATCCAGTTAGCTTTTTTTTTGGGGGGGGGGAAGCATCTTTTTTTGTTGTTGTACATGTTTTTAATATGTGTTCGCTGCCCTGAGTCCTTCTGGAGAAGGACGGCATATAAATACATGGAATAAATAAATAAATAAATAAATTTTTGGGACAATCATAACCTGGATGATTGACAATCTTCATAGACATTCAGGTGAAAATGCCTCAACAGAAAAATGAAAGCAGGCTCAGCAAGCAATCTATATAGCTGTTCTCTTAGTCGGGTTGGTTTCAACCAGATTAAGCAAGTAAAACTAATGTAGAAATTAAATAGATTTGTTATGGTGGGGCAAAATCAGGGGTGGGATTTCAAAAATCTTAACAACCGGTTCTCTGCCCAGTTGCTGGGTGGGCATGGCCATGGTGAGCATTGCCAACTCAGCCTCCTTCACCACAGCGGGGGTGGAGGCTTCACCTTCCTCAGGCTCCAGAGGCTTTCCTTGAGCCTCTGGGAGTGTGAAAATGGCCTCCTCCGGACTCTGGAGGCTGGAAATGGGCCTGTTTCTGGACTTTCCAGTAGGCCCGTTTTTCACCCTCCCCAGGCTCTGGAGGCTTTCCTCAAGCCTCCAGGAGGGCAAAAACGGTCTCCCCCGGGCTCTGGAGGCCCTCTAGAGGTCAGAAACACGCCTGTTTCTAGACTGCCAGTACTTCCAGTAGGCCCATTTTTTTTGCCCTCCCCAGGCTCCTGAGGCTTTTCTTGAGCCTCTGGTAGGGCAAAAACAGCATCCCCCAGGTTCCAGAGGCCCTCCTGAGGCTGGAAATGGGCCTGTTTCCAGACTTCTGGAACTTCTGGGAAGCCTGTTTTTCTCCCTCCCAGATCCTCTGCACGGGCCCTGCACTTACCTGGCATCCAAAATGGGCCACGTGGAGACTCCTGGGAGGGTAGGGGTGGGCGGGGCCAGCCAGTACTTGCAATTACCAGTTCGGTGAACCAGATATAAAATTAACATCCTGTTCGCCTGTACCGGTGAATCCCACCCCTGGGTGAAATGGCATAAATAATTATTAGCCTCAGTGCCATACATGGAATAGTTGCTTCCTCTTTCTGCAGTCCCTAGAACCCTTCTGATCCCACCCTGCTGAATTTCAGCAGTACAATTGTTAAAGATAAAACGAAAATAGAAAATTATCTCCGGAGCTTAATATATCTCTGGAGATGTTGCTCCTCTTGATTATGGCTGTACTGTGGTTTCAAAGACAACCAAAGAGAGAGAAAGGTATTAAATACATTGTCATTGGCTTAAATTAGAGTTGAATGAAAAAAGCAAAGGGGAAGCATTGAACTCGGAGGTGCCAGATACACTGGTACAATTACTAATAATAATTCTAATGCATTTCAGGCAAGGTCCTTCTTTTAACTTTCCTGTAGAAGACAGGAAACAAAGCATACATTAATTCTGCAGAAAATGTATCTGGGGTTTTTTTTTGGGGGGGGGGGTACTTTCCTAACGATGTTTTTCTTATCTGAATCGAAAAGTGGACCATTTTGTGGTATTAAATTTGCATATACTCTATCACTTGCAAGCACGTGGACGGTAAACAACTGCTAGTCCATCCGCATGTGCCCCCCTGACTACAGGAAGTGTAGCTCAGGGGCCTCCAAATTTGGCAACTTTATGAATTGTGAACTTCATCTCCCAGAATTCCTCAGTTGCCAGCAGTTGCCAAGTTTGGAGACTTCTGGTCTAGGTTATTCTGTGGAATGTCAAATGATGGCAAGGAACTGAGGCAGTTCTGATTTGCTGAGCTACAGCCAACATGACCACAAGGCCACAAACAAGGCCAAGAAACAGGTCACCCTACCCCAGTCCTTGATATGTGATTCCAGGTGAGTGGGTGACTTTTCATAAGCATGTCAGGCATAGATAATTTTCTCTCCTACTCTAATGGCATGGAGTGGTCGGCCTTGATGCAATCAGTCACAATGTGAATATGCACAACATTCCTGGAATCTATTGGCATTCAGCTCAAAAACCTTGAACCAAAAGTACAACTGCATTGTACGCCACCCAGAGTTGCTTTCTGGGCAATGGGCAGCCATATAAATTTGACTCATAAATAAATAAAATGAAAGAGAGCAAATGGCATACAAAAAATAGCCATAGAGCAAAAACACTACAGTAAAATGTTTACTTTAGGGGAAAGTCTTATACTAGACAAACATTGTTGTTGTTAGTTGCGAAGTCGTATCCGACCCATTGCGACCCTATGGACAATGTTCCTCCAGGCCTTCCTGTCCTCTACAATACCCCAGAGACCATTTAAGCTCACGCCTACTGTTTCAGTGATTCCATCCAGCCACCTCATTCTCTGTCGTCCCCTTCTTCTTTTGCCCTCAGTCTTTCCCAGCATTAGGCTCTTCTCCAGTGAGCCCTTCTCATTAGGTAGCCAAAGGTATTTGAGTTTCATCTTCAGGATCTGGCCTTCTAAAGAGCAGTCAGGGTTGATCTCTAGGATTGACCGGTTTGATCGCCTTGCAGTCCAAGGGACTCGCAGGAGTCTTCTCCAGCACCATAGTTCAAAGGCCTCATTCTTTGGCGCTCAGCCAAAGTTATGGTCCAACTTTCATAATCATTCATTGCAACTGGGAAAACCATAGCCTTGACTATACACACTTTTGATGGCAGGGTGATGTCTCTGCTTTTTAGTAAGCTATCTAGATTTGCCATAACCAAATATATTTGGGGGGGAAATTGCACAAAAGTGCAAATCTAGGATAATGTTCTGTGGAAGCTACTAGAAAAATTTTGTATCCAAAAAATAAGATTTAATAGAACAGTATATCAATAATTTAGTGTTGAACTTGGAAGTATTTGATTCTCTTTGAGTGTGGTACTGATGTTAGCCTAGTTGGGTAATGAAACATCTGCAAGCAAGCAACCAAGTACAGGAGCATCAGGAAGTCCACAAAAATAGATTAATGGGTAAATCCCTCAGTAGAATGATAAAAAAAAAAGATATACTTCTATCACATTTTACTAAACAAAGCAATAGAGATAGTGTGTTTATGATAAGAAGAATGAGATCATTTTCCTATCACTATTTCACTGACAAAAGTAGATATTTTCAATCGCCTGGCAGCCAGCAGCCAGCAGAGTTCAACCAGATGTCTTTGGGGATAAACATATGTAGATCTTCATCTCCCTTCCTTTGATCCATAAATTCCAGGAACAAAGGAAAAGATGCTACCTTTCCATATTATTATTAGGAAGAACCATGGTAGATGTTCCTTTCAGTAACTTCCAACTCCAGTTACATGTTCTATAGTTTTATTTCATCTAAATCTGTTGAATTGCCACAAAGATAGAATCAGGAGTTCTAGCAGTGGTGGGATTCACAGGTTGTAACAATAGGTTCGCTTCGCATGCCCTCTGGAGGCCAGAAACAGTACCTTCTGGTACTTCCGGTAGGCCCGTTTTTCACCTCCCCAGGTTCCAGGGTCTTTCCTGGAGCAACCAAGAGAGCAAAAATGGTCCCCCCTGAGCACCAGAGGACCTCCGGAAGCCAGAAACAGGCCCGTTTCTGGACTTTCAATACTTCTGGTAGGCCTGTTTCACCTTCCCCAGGCTCCAGAGACTCTCTTTGAGCCTCCGGGAGGGCAAAAATGGCCTCCCCCAGGCACTGGAGGCCCTCTGGAAGCCAGAAATAGGCCTGTTTCTGGACTTTCAGTAGGCCTGTTTTACGCCCTCCCAGAGCCTCCGCATGCACTCTGCACTTACCTGGCATCCAAAATAGGTTGTGTGGAGACTCCTGGGGTGGGTGGGATGGGGTGGGCGGGGTCAGACAGTCCTTGGAACAAATGGTTCAGCGAACCAGATTAAAATTAAAATCTGGTTCTCCTGAACTGATCCAAACCGGCTGAATCCCACCCCTGAGTTCTAGGACCCAAAACATAGGGGGAAAAAAGACCTCACAGAAAGGTTTTGTATTTACCTGTATCTTCCCCAGAACTCCTGTGCTCTCCATTCGACTGGCTACATTCACAGTGTTTCCCCAAATATCATATTGAGGTTTCTGAGCTCCAATGACGCCGGCCACAACTGGCCCATGATTCATACCTGCAAAAGTTTCCAGAGTTTAACAGTGTCTGTCGTTTGAATCAAGCAAGTCATGTTAGATCAAAAGTTCATACAAGCTCTTCATGATCAATTCCCTTCTCACATTCCTGTTGCTATCTCCTTCTACGTTTCCTAAAGTGAATGTATAACCAGCAACCCAAATACTTCTCCAAGAAGGTGACCTTTGTACCTTTTCTAGGCTTTGAGGAAGAAGTTCCTCTACAGCAGGGGTGTCAAACTCCATTTCATTGAGGGCCGCATCAGGGTTCTGTTTGACTTCAGAGGGCCGGGGTAGGCATGGCCATGGTGGGCATGGCCAGTTTGATGTCACTTGTGTTGGGGGCACCTGTGGTGGCCAAGTGCTAAGGCAGGGCTTCCCTTTTCCTTCCTTGCTCTGTTCCCATCTTCTTTTTCTTTGCCTTTCCTCTTTCCCTTTCTCCTTCCCTGTCCCTTCTTGTGCTCAAATGCACAAAGGGAAACTTTTCTCCTTTTGTTTTGTTTTTAGTTTGTTTTGCTAGCCCTCTGGCAGCAAAAACGGAGCTCAGGGAGGTCTGTGTGCGCCCCCCACAGCTCCATTTTTGCTGGCAGAGACACCGCAGGCCAGTCCTTTGCTGTTTCCAGGCTGGCCCCACGGACCTTGAATTTGACACCCTTGCTCTACGGCACCATGTGAAATTTTAAAACATTCTTCGTTCAGTTGTAACATAAGCACTTTTTTAAAAAAAAGTTTTCACACTAAAAATTCAAAAGCCATTTGGTATTTGAGCAAGTGCTGTGAAACTTAGGCTGAAAGCGGCATACCTAAAAGTGGTGAAGGCATGTAAGCAGGATGAAGAAAAGCCAGGAAAACCTCCCTCAGGAAAAGAATGCAAGTCATTAAGGAAGCAAAAGGACAAAAGGTGGGCCCGAGCCAGAAGTGGGATTCACTTACCTTCCCTACCAGTTTGCAAATGTGAGTGCATGCATGCACAGTATCGCACATTACATCTGGGGGGGGGGGGGCAGAGCCTCCTGCAGTCACCGCTACCGGTTCGCACGATCTGGAGAGAACTGGCTAAATCCCACCACTGGCCTGAGCATATGGCAAACCCCCTCCTCAAGTCTCACCAACAAAGGAGTTGAGCCTGCATAGGAAGCCCTTCCCCGCCAACAAAGCAAAGATTTTTTTGGGGATAAAAAGGGTCCTGAAATCTGCCCAATTTTTGAGTCATTTTGGGATCCCAGACTTGACAGCTTCAATCCCTCTGGCAGCCTAGTTGTGGATGTTGGATAAGCATGAATGAAAGAGAGTGTGTAAGAGGAAGTAAATATATTTTATAATCAGTAAAAATTTGCTGCTATTTTAAATTCACTGGATCTCCATGTATTTTAAATAACTGTTTGTGCCTCAGTGTTCAGTTGAAAGCGATTTGAGTGTGGCCATTTTCCAGGTCGGTGAGCATGTGAGTGACTGACCATAAGTTGAACCTGAGGGCACACTTTTATAATAGTGCAAATATTTTACATAGCTCAGCTCCAGAAAAAAACAATTTGATTTGCACACCAGCTTCCCCTTTTCTCCAAAAATATAAGTCCTATTTTCATCGTATCATGAATTCATAGCCAAAGTATGTTTATATAGAAAGGAATTTTAGAGTAGAGTAGAGTAGAGTAGAGTAGAGTAGAGTAGAGTAGAGTAGAGTAGAGTAGAAGAATAGAATAGAGAGTAGAATAGAATAGAATAGAATAGAATAGAATAGAATAGAATAGAATAGAATAGAATAGAATAGAATAGAATAACAGAGTTGGAAGGGACCTTGGAGGTCTTCTAGTCCAACCCCCTGCTTAGGCAGAAAACCCTACACCACTTCAGACAAACGATTATCCAACATCTTCTTAAAAACTTCCAGTGTTGAGCATTCACAACTTCTGGAGGCAAGTGTTTCCACTGATCAATTGTTCTAACTGTCAGGAAATTTCTCCTTAGTTCTAAGTTGCTTCTCTCCTTGATTAGTTTCCATCCATTGCGTCTTGTCCTTCCCTCAGGTGCTTTGGAGAATAGCTTCACTCTGTTTGTGGCAACCCCTGAGATATTAGAACACTGCTATCAGGTCTCCCCTAGTCCTTCTTCTCATTAAAATAGACATATCCAGTTCCTGTAACCGTTCTTCTTTTCTTAGTTCATGAACAGTTTATTAACACTCACCCACACGGAGTTTGAAAGAGTTGAACGAATGTTTGTTGATAATGTCCAACTTGGCTACCAAAGCCATGGCAAACTCCACCATGGTTCCCAGGTGGGTGTAGCTCCTCTCAGTATCCTGCACAAATTATCCATGTAGATAGATATATCAACACAAGCCAATGGATAGTAAATGTTAAAAAAAAAAAAAAAACAGAGACAAAGATTCACAGAGGTAAATATTAAGAGGAAAGTGGCTTAGCACATATTGATCAAGTAACAAAAGATGTGGTTTCCTCTTTTTCTTCTACCGCAAAGTCAATGTGAACCCTTCAAGTTAGATGAAACTTGGTGTTCTGACCAAGACTTCACAAAAGCACGAAGCAGACTCCTTGTCCCAACAAAATCCCTTTTTATTAAGCTAATGTGAATTCCTCTCATTCACATCCAGCAAAGTCCCGGCAAACAGTCTTTCAAGGGTGAATTTACAACCACAGACCTTATCAGGCTTGGAGAGCTGCCAGGCCTATATCTTCCAAACGTCAATGCTGTACAAGAAAATACTTGGCAAGGAGTCTCTGAGAGTCACGAACAGATCTTCACACTAATTAAATGAACTAATTGTCTCCTGCAAACCCCACTCCCCTTTTGCTCCTCTTTATTCCCTATGGGAGGGGCCATTCACTGTCCAATTGTCCCTTTACTCCCGAGTCGGCCCTTGTTCCTTAACTGTTCCCTTCTCCTGGCAGCTCTGCACATGCACACATTGGGAATAGACTCCAGCTGTTCTTCAGCCCCACTTATCTCTGACTCCGAAGGTAGATGAAAATTGTCGGACAGCCTTGGCCCCCTCTCTGCCTCTGACGCAGAGCACTCATCAGAGCCTTCCCCAGACTCCAGGACTGGCCCATGTTCCTCCCCAACCTCCTCACTGTCCGAGTCTGCTGCCAGCTCCACTGGTGGCTGGTGGGCCACAACACTAGGAAACCACTGCTGTGTTGGTAGTCCTCAACATACGACTGCAAGTAGGGCCAGAATTTCCATTGCTGAGCAAGTGGCTTGTCAAGTGAGTCACACCTGATTTAACAACTTTTTTTTGCCGCAGTTGTTAAGCGAACCATTAGGTGAATCACACAGTCATTAAGTGAATCCAGTCTCTCCCATTGGCTTTGCTTGTCAGAAGCCAGTTTGGAAAGTCACAAATGGAGGTCATATGATCCTAAGACCCTGCAACCATTGTAAATAGATGTTGGTTGCCAAACAACCTCATTTTGATCACATGAATGTGGGGATGCTGTGATGGTCATAAATGTGGAGACTGCTCATAAATAACTTTTTTCAATGATATTGTAATTTTGAATGTTCACTAAACAAGGGGTTGTAAGTCAAGGACTACCTGTACTACTTTTCTTGTAGTGCTACAGTGACAGAATCTTGCAAATTTGAATTAGCTTCTTCCTCCCTCCCTTTATCTTTGTGTTCTTCATGTGAACCTAGAGAGGTCCCAGTCTGAGATGTTTCCTGATGCTACATTCCTGCTCTGGACTCAGCCACCTCTTATCTAATCCTTGCTTTGGCAGTGATTCTTTCTCCTGTTCTTCACGGTCATTCCCTCTGCCCTCTACAGATTCCTTATCATACATATTCCATTCATGTGCATATATACTTTCCCAGGATCTTGAAGAGCAAAATTATGGAACCACTCCAGAATTAAAAGTTCCTCTATTCTCAAACAATTCATACACAAAAAAAGATGTAAATAATAAGGACCAAAACTATGGCCTTGAAGATGCTAACGTGGAAACAGAACATGAAATCTCAGTCCCACTGATAGATTCGGGATGAGTAGAGTCATCCTGAATGAAGGCATTACCTGTTGGTTATCCTGGCCAGCTGCCACATTTAAGCCAGTAGCTGCCATGTAAGTGCTGCCAATGGTTTTGATCTTCTCAACCCCACTGAATTTGGGTTTCAGAAGCAGCTATTAAAAGAAAGACAGGAAATCATTTATTCCGATAGTTCAAAAGCTATGACATTTTTGCATATCAATCATTTATCTAGCTTAGTATTTTTCTCTGAAAGATATTTAGTCAGATGCACTATGATTCTGAAGTATGATGGTGATACAATCAGGCAGATGTCATATCCGGGCATGGATGGTTCTTACAATTCTGAGACTGAAATTACAAGTCCTTATAATAAATGTTATACAATTTGTGGTAACAAATGCCTACTCCCTTCTAATATTGATAAGCTTAGTTTGGTAATGAAATATCTGCAAGAAAACCACCAACTTCACAGAGCACCAAGGACCCACAACTTCACAGAGCACCAAGGACCCACAAGTTTTAGAGTAGTAGAGATTATTCAACTAGATCTCATCCATCATATTAGCTTTCTACAAATAATAACAGGGGTGGGGTCAGCCAGAGGTGGGATCAGCTGGGTCTCTGAACTGCACACAAAATTAACAACTGGTTTGGCTGAACCGGGCTGAACCAAGCTGAATCCCACCTCTGGTAATATACCCTATTTAAATAAACCCTACTTATTTAATGCTAATTGGAATAATATAATCTCATGGAGTATTTCTACTTCCTAACCTAGTATTGTGCTAACATTTCTCCAGATCATAGATTCCTCAAATCCCATCCTACATGTTATTATTTTAATCTGGAATTAAAAGCCATATTTTTGAGACCTTCAGAACTTCCCTTGATCGACACTGCTGGAACATAGTTTCCACCATTTTGTGATAGGAAACAGTTGGAAATTTTAGTTTAAGTCCAAAACAAAAAAATAACACGATAAAAAAAAATCCCTGTCCACATTCCAATAATCCCTCCCCTTCAAATTCCAGCCTAGCCTACAAATGATGTAGCGCCAACCAACTTTTGGCCCTGAGCCCCTCCCAAATGTTAACTGTGATCTTTGATGATCCAAAAGGCAATGCACTTATACTTTCAATAATTATTGGCTGCTGGCTTTTATTGGCTGATGTTTGGTCCCTTAGGTATGAATTATTTATTTATTTATTCAAACATTCTATTTCCTAGAAATAAACAAAACTGTCATGAGATCTATTGGCTTTGATTAGATTATGGCATACGTAAGTACAGTTTTCCCTTATGCACAATTAATCTACCTCTGATTATAATGATTTCTTTGTCTTACGAAAGGAAGAGGCCAGTATAAGGGAGAGTGAACCTATTAAGTATAAGCTGTTCGAACAGTTTTTATGCGAATGGAGTAAAAATGTAATTGAGAGAAGTTTTTGTTGGTGGATGAAATGGAATAAGCATATTTTTTTGCTTGTTCATAAATCTATCTCACCTTCTCTCTGCATCCATCTGTCTTTCATATTTTATTGCATTTTGTATGGAATTTCTGCTAAAATAAGATGCATTTTATATATTCTGTTTTCTTCATTTTGAGTTTTTCTTTTACTTTTTATTGAATTTTTATTAGTATGAATACTGGTGGGAATAATTGGAAAGCAGTATAAAGATTCTGCAAGTGTATAATATTTAACAGCATGTAATGTAGGTATACATGCACACATATACAACAGGCAGAGAGACAAGAAAGAATGAGAAGATATAAGTGCATGCAGTTACATATAGTGCATGTAGTTATATATAGCTACTGTACATATATTTCCCCATACCTCATCAAAGTCAGCAATGATCTCGTTGAGCAGTCGGAGGCATTCAAGTCCTTCATGGTTGACATTGGATTCAGAATAAAATTCTTTGAAGTCCGGGATTGAAGCGAAGAGAACACAGACACAATCATAAGATTGGTGATAGAGATCCTGCTGGCAGAGAAAGACCAAGAGTCATCCAAATTCTTCAATCGTAACCCTTAAACTTAAACTTCAACACCAAAGATATTCAAACTCTACCACCTACAGAGGGATAGGAAAAGATTAAATTGGAATTTGCCCAGAGTCATTTCTTTAGGAGATGCATGACAAATAGATGATAGATAAATAGATGATAGATAGATAGATAGATAGATAGATAGATAGATAGATAGATAGATGATAGACAGATGACAGACAGACAAATGATGGATAGATGATGGATAAATAGAAGATAGATAGATAGATAGATAGATAGATAGATAGATAGATAGATGATAGACAGACAGACAGACAGATGATGGATAGATGATGGATAGATAGAAGATAGATAGATGGATACAGTAGATAGATAGATAGATAGATAGATAGATAGATAGATAGATAGATAGATAGGTAGGTAGGTAGGTAGGTAGGTAGGTAGGTAGGTAGATAGATAGATAGATAGATAGATAGATAGATAGATAGATAGATAGATAGATAGGTAGATAGATATGGGTGGGTGGGTGGATGGATGGATGGGTGGGTGGGTGGATGAATGGATGGATGGATGGATGGACAGACAAATAGATACATTTTCAAATTCTAGTCCCCTCCCTGGAAGATCAGATAGGGTAGCTTAACTGTTGCAAAACTACAACAGATCCAACTCTTTGGATATAGTTGTCTACCCCAAAACCAAATGGAGAGTGTGCCTTTTAATACATACTGTGCTGTGCTGTTTTGGATCATGAGTCTCATGATTGTCATGGCAGCCTAGAAATCCAAGAAGCTTCTTTTATCAGCTCGGGTAAGGAAAATGCTGGCCAACAAGTTTTCTACTATTTTATTTTATTTCATTACCGAATTTATATTGGTGCGCTTACATTTGCGAACCAGTAGGGAAAGTAAATGAATACCATGCATGAATCCTGCATGGAAAGTGACTCTGGGCAGCATACAACAATCCCATTAAACAATTTAATATATAAAGCAATCGTTATAAACAATTACAAAACAATCACAAGAAATCACGACAAACAATTAAGAGGAAATACCACCATCCTGTTCCTTCCCATCCTGTTCCTTCCCATCCCTCGCCATCTTTTAACTGTAATTTTATTTTGATTGTGATTTCCATTTATAGCATTTTAGAAATATTAAAATTTTAATGTTTTAATGCTTTAAGCTGCCCAGAGCTGTTTGGATACGAGATGAGGAGTAAATCAATGTAATAACTATATTACCTAAAACCATTACCTAGTAATTATTAATGTCAGACCTGCTAGCACTTTAGCCTCTAAATAAAAATGATCCTTGGCTCCATTTGTTGAGAAAGATATAGTTTTATTAGAAATCAAGTGCCTTGCAGTAGTGTATAGCCAGAACTGAGAATCACACACAAAAATCCTTAAATTCAATTTTTCCTTCCCTTAACTACCTCGCATGTCTGACTCCCCCATGACAAATCAGGTTCAGGTTTTTCAGAATGGCAACTTCAAACGTAGGTTAGCATGCAACTCCGTTCTTCTCCCAGCCAGATGACCTTAAAGCAGCATCTCAGAGAGATGTAGAAGTACTTTCATTTTCCCCCAAGCATCCTCCCTCCCCAGAGTTCATGGCAGAATGTCAGTGCATGATAGTGAAACACACGAGCAAGCAAGTGTAAAGTGGCAGCTGACAATTAAGAATATTAAAACCTATGAAAGCATAGCTAAAACAGGAAAAGAGATTAATAGAAAGGGGGTTGTTAATAATAAAGAGGCCACCTCATGAGTTCACCTGTCCTCAGATGTCTCCAAGCCTGCTAGCATAATCAGGTCTTGAAGGACCTTCAAAGCTCAGGGGTGATAAGGCTGACCTCATTTTTGGGGAAGAAGTTTCTACAATGAGGATGCCACAGCAGAAAAGGGCCCACCAAATGTAGCTCCCTAGATGATGGAACCTATAACCAGTTTTGTTTCTGCAAGCCAATTCAAGATCCAAATTTTAGAAGCCAATTTCTAGGTGGATTAGTTTTCCAGAAAGACCAAAAAAAAATCTGATAGATGAGCAAAATCTAATTAACCAGGTCGCAAAAATATAAAGAAAATCAATATAAAATGCTTTACTGTTGGTATTTGGCACCTTCTAGATTGGCAAAAATATATCCAAATTTAAATCCCAATTGTTGGAAATGTGGACAAAAGCAAGGTACCTTCTTTCATACATGGTGGTTATGTTCCAAAACAAAAGAATATTGGATGAAAATACATGGTTGGATACAAGAAGTAACAGGCTTCCAGATAGAATACACACCAGAATTGTTTCTTCTACGAATAATGAAAAGGAAATACAGAAAAAAAAAACCCCTCCATATATTATTCTACACATAACAACTGCGGCAAGATTGGCCTTCGCGCAATGTTGGAGAAGCTCCAATATACCCTCTGAAGATTTAATAATTAAAAAGATTTTGGATTGTGCCGAGATGGACAAAATGACACTTGAATTGAAAGGATTGATGGACTCGGATTTTTACGTAATATGGGAGAAATGGTATAATTGGATCAAAAATAGAAAAAAAGGAAAATAATAGAATATAGATTTAGTAAAAATATATAGAGTATAGGTGAATACTTGTGTGATGATATGTAAATGGTCACAGTCATGCACAAGAGTTGAATAATGATTGTTTAATTGTAAAAATTGAGTAAAACAATTTTTTGTTTAAAGATGAGCAAAATCTTTCTTCCTGCCATCTTCCTTCCTGCCCCTCCAACCTGTCTTGGCAATGTGTCACGAACCTAGCCAAGTAACATTAGCATTGTTTGGCTTTCAGAGGTGATATGCTGCTGGTTCATACAGGTTCGTCCGAACTGGTAGCAGAAATCACATGTGGGCCCATCCAACTACCCGCCTGCCCCGACTCTATGCCGTCTTATCTATGCCTTATGTGCACACAAAGTGCATGGGTTGAACGCCGTGTACATGCGCGGAGGTGGCGCATACGAGCAAAGCTAGTGTGTGTGTGCGTTCACATCGCAGGGAAGGTAAGTGAAAACCACCTCTGTTTCATTTCTCCTCTCTCTCTGAAATCTTCAGAGAAATATCAACCTCCAAGGCTCACCGTATTGCGCCGGATCTGGCGAATAAACTGCTGAGCTACATCAGCCGGGAGAACATTTTCCAGCAGGACCCGGTTGAGATCCTCCATGGTTTCAATCTCTTCGCGTTCTTTCTTGAATTTCTTCTTCCAGAGAAAATCCAAGCGGCAGTAATACTCGTTCTGAGAAAAAGAAGAGTCAGAGTTGCAGTGAGGACCTTCCCTTTTGCAAAGCAATATTTTTAGCTCACCAGGTTGAACTCTGGGTTCTCTTGATGCTCTTGATGGTTTTCTGGCAGACGTTTCATTATTGAATTAGGTCATGTCATCAGTGCTAGAAGGGTGTGGGGTTTGCTTTTATTTTTTATATATATTAGTGGCTTGCCCTGTCAAGTGTTGGTGGGAGCGTTCTTGGCAGTCCTTTGACTGAATAAATAATAAATATGATGCAACAATTTGAAGGATGGAATGTACAAAGTAAACTTGGAAATTATCAGAAAGTGTGGATACGCCACACACTCCTGGAAAGTAGGGATTTAAACCACATATCCCCCCTCCCCAGGACCACAAATAATCTTAGGCCATTAAAAAAAGAGATGAAGCAAGGATTGAGGCTCTCTATAGAAAGTCATCTGAGTAGTATTACTACAGTATGAACTACTGTAACTCTTAATAGAGATATATAAATTATTCCCAGTCTTTCAAACACGGGAGGAAATGCAATGTCTTTCCTATAATATTTATATCAGCTACTGATATAAAGTTCAGTATGGCTCTGAACATGTGAAGGACAGTATAAAAATACATTTATTTTTTGCCTTGGTTGTAGTCTTGATTCATGCCGCTTTTTTGCATGTTATCTGAAATACCTGTTTCTGAAGCTTATTGTTTTTTTTATTTATTCATTTATTTAATGTATATCCTGCCTTTATTACTGTTATAAATGACTCAAGGCAGCAAACATATCTGATATACCTGTGATGGCGAACCTATGGCACATGTGCTGGAAGTGACATGCAGAGCCATCTCTCTGTGCACGTGAGTCATCGCCTGTTGCTCTTCCTGGTACTGGCGTGCTGGCCAGCTGGTCTTCACATGCGCAAGAGCACCGGAAACTGGAAGAACAGCTGACACATTCAGCTCATTCGCACGCCAGGAAGATGATCTTCCAGTTTCCAGCATGCACATGCACGCCAGTCAGCTGGTCTTCATGGGTGCATGCATGCCAGAAACTGGAAGACCAGGTGGCCGGTGGCCATGCCCCCGCCGGAATCTGGAAGATCATCTTTCCGGTGGGCGCATGCGCACCGAGCGCTTTCTGGCCTGTGCCTGCACACCAGCCAACTGGTTTTTGCACGTGCATGCACATCATAAACCGGACAACCAGGTGGCCAGTGTGCAAGTGTGCACCGGAAGCTGAAAGATCATCTTCCCAGTGCGCACATGCACACCTGGGGGTGGGGTGCTTTTCTGGTTTCCGGCACGCGCACACACTCCCATTTCAGCACTCGGCACTAAAAAGGTTCGCCAACACTGTGATAGACCTTCCTCATGAGCCGTGGTGGCGGAGTGGTTAGAATGCAGTACTGCAGGCTACTTCTGCTGACTGCCGGTTGTCTGTAATTTGGCAGTTCAAATCTCATCAGGCTCAAGGTTGAGTCAGCCTTTCCATCCTTCCAAGGTGGGTGAAATGAGGACCCAAATTGTTGGGGGCAATATTCTGACTCTGTAAAACACTTAGAGAGGGCTGTAAAGCACTGTGAAGAGGTATATAAGTCTAAATGCTATTGCTATTGTCTTATTTTCCCCACAATAACCCTGTGAGATGAGTTGGGCTGAGAGAGAGAGTGATTGGCCTATGGTCACCCAGCTGGCTTTCATGCCCAAGGCAGGATTAGAACTCACAGATTTCTCGCCTGGTGCCTTAACCACTAGACCTCGTCTCAGAAGAAGCACATAGAAAGAGATAAGGTTGTATCAATGTGACATGTACTGTCAATGTGGTATATAATATGGTGAGTCTGTGGTTTTTATTAATAGTAAAGTGATTACAAAGAAAGAGTTCAACAACGAACAAAACTAGGTTCCAGGAAAAACCACTTTAAGAACACTGTATTTTGCCACACTAGTTCTTACCCACGATTGTATCTGGAACATTTTTTTTTTCCTACCGTGCTCTATTTTTCATCAAATCAATTACTGACTGTGTGAAAACTCTCTCATTCACAAATAAGGAGAACAAAGCCAGATTCCTGTAAACCACACCTGGCCACGTGAAACAGCCACTTTTTGAAGGCCAGTGGACAAACATTAGTAAAGATTTTCAAAGCCTCAAAACCACAAAAGAGGAAAGGTTGACAGGATGTGAAGAGGTGGCTTTGAAAGAGTGATGGGAAATTTGCCATGCAATTTCACCCAAACCAACTTCCCTGAGGTGCATTTCATGAGTGCAATGCAGAGCCTGTCCCACTTCTCATCTGTAAGAGAGGAGAACTTCCTGGTAGGACCAACGCAAGTTTAGGTTTGTCACCCGACCCGAAGCTTATGTGACAATCCTATACTTGCGTTGGTCCTAGCAGGAAGTTCTTCTCTATTACAGATGAAAAATGGGGCAGGCTCTATATTGTCACACAGCCAGAGGTGAAATCTATTTACCTTCCCAACTGGTTCGGAAGTGCACACATCATATGCATGCTTGGACCTTCTGCGCATGTGCAAACCCTTCTGTGCATGTGCAGAGGGTAAAAAACAGGTTACTTCCTAGTTCAAACCAGGAAGTAATGACAACTGGGCAGGTGGGCAAAGCCTCGCACCGTCATCGCTACCAGTTCTCTGAAGCACTAGCCATTGTCACTGCGTTTTTGTATTTGTCAGCTGGGCTCCCATTCTAAGATTTACGGTAGCTGAAAACTCTTATCTCAGAAGTTACTGCGTATGTCCACATTCTTTCACTTTCTTCTAACTTTTTTTGTTTGCCTGCCAAGAGGTAAGGCAGAAACGCTGCCAAGATGTAATCATTAGCTAGTAAGACTGTTTTTACTTTCTTTATAATAAAATGTGTTTTATTAGAATATATCTCGGGTTTTATTTTCTTTAAAAAGTATACTCCAAGGAAAAGCCATGGTCCCGTCTCTAATCAAGGTGCAATTACCCCAAAGCAGAATGGGATTAATTGCCACCCTGACAGCCACTATCGCTACCGATTCAACCGAACTGGTCCAAACCAGGAACATTTCACCTCTGCACCCAGCCCTAAGCTTATGAGATATGGAGAGCACTGGAAGACAGCAACCAAAAAAAAAAGTAGCTTTCACAGGCTGAATTAAAGTGGGAACTCACCTGTCTAGCCAGACCCAAGAGGGTGAAGAAGAAAACGAAGAATGAGACTGCTCCCATCACCTTGGGCTCCTTCAGCACCCCAGGTCTGAAAGAATGGGAGTTACAGAAAACTTCATTCCTGGTCTATTCCTCTAAAATGACCTTCTGGAGTACCATATATTTATCTGGAATTACCATAGCAACTGCCCCCCTCAGATGATCTTTGCCAAAATAAAGGTAAAGGTAAAGGTTCCCCTCGCACATACGTGCTAGTTGTTCCCAACTCTAGGAGGCGGTGCTCATCTCTGTTTCAAAGCCGAAGAGCCAGCGCTGTCTGAAGATGCCTCCATGGTCAAGTGGCCAGTATGACTAAATGCCAAAGCTGGGACAAGTAATGGGAGCTCACCCCATTACACAGCATTAGGGATTCGAACCGCTGAACTGCCGACCTTTCAATCGGCAAGGTCAACGTCTTAGCCACTGAGTCACTGCATCCCGTATTGCCAAAGCAACAGGAAATTATTTCTAAACAGGCTGGGTCTGTATTCAGACTAGTGCTGTGTTAAATATTGCTCCCTATTTAGTTTTTTGAATTTGACAAGAGAAACCAAAGTCAAATGAAAGAGGTTACTAAAAAAATCTTCTCTTTTCACTGCCCAATAGTTGTTTTCCTTTTTAAAAGCTTTAATGTGGCCCTGTCTGCATTGTCTCTTTTCATATCCTATTCCATTGTTACTAGTATTTATAATTATCAACCAACCACATATTATTGTATGGTCATCCGACCCTCCTGTGGTCAGAGCAGGGATGGGATTCAAAAATTTTAGCAACCGGTTCTCTGCCTGGTTGCTGGGTGGGCGTGGTCATGGTGGGCATGGCGTATTCGGCCTCCTGAACCACAGGGGGGAGTTTTTGCCCTCCCCGGGCTCTGGAGGCTTTCCTTAAGCCCCCGGGAGGGTGAAAAAGGCCTCCCCGGGCTCCAGAGGCCCTTCGGAGTCTGGAAACGGGCTTGTTTCCAGACTTCTGAAACTTCTGGGAGGCCCATTTTTCACCCTCCCAGAGCCTCTGCATGGGCCCTGCACTTACCTGGCATCCAAAACAGGCTGCATGGAGACTCCTGGGAGGTGTGTGGAGGGGTGGGATGGGAGGGGCTAGTCAGTCCTTGCAACTACCGGCTAGGCAAACCTGATGTAAAATTAGCATCCAGTTTGCCCGAACCAGTCTGAACCCAGAGGGAATAAAAGAGGAGCGAAAGGGGAGTGGAGTTTGCAGGAGACAATTAGTTCCCTTAATTGGTTTGTGACTCTCCAAGACTCCTTGTCAAGTTTTGAAGATATCGGCCTGGCAGCTCTCCAAGCCAGATAAGGTCTGTGACTGTAAATTCTCCCTTGAAAGACTTTGCTGGATGTGAAGGAGAAGAATTCACAGTAACTTAATAAAAAAGGTTTTTTGTCAGGACAAGGAGTCTGCTTCGTGCTCTTGGGAAGCCTAGGTCAGAACACCTTGGTGGCGCAGTGATTAAAATGTAGTATTGCTGGCTAACTCTGCCGACTGCCAGCAGTTTGATTCTGACCGGCTCAAAATTGACTCAGCCTGCCATCCTTCTGAGGTTGGTAAAATGAGGACACAGATGGTTTGAGGGCCATATGCTGACTCTTAAACCACTTAGGGCTGTGAAGCACTGTGAAGCGGTATATAAGTCTTAAATCTACTGCTATTTCTATCCTTCTGAGGTCCAATGGAATAATCATGGAAGGACGGTTATAATACATTAATACAATGTATTGTTGCATGGATAAAAAAAGACAAAGAAACTAAGAATCATTTCATTGCTGCAACATGCATGGTTCTCTTATGAAGTGCAAAAAAAGTCCATGGGTACCCATCAATCAAGGTGATATATAACCTTCACTCCTTATCATTGTTAGCAGAATTTGTATAATCCTGGTGAAAGACCAGGAAAGAAAAGTCTCTTGCTGTGATTTGTGATTCTTGTGAATGCCTTAATTTACATAGTCCATTCTGCAGAAGAGATTGTACTTCTCCTTTTTCTGTAATGAAGGGCCAGGTGACCAAGACAGTTCTGCCCTGTGTCAGTTTCATTTATGTTTCATATCATTTTTGTTGGTTTGCTTACTTGTTTCATTTCACTTTTTACAACGTATGTATGTTTTGCAATTTTATGAACAAGACAAATCAGTAATGTTTTATCTATACCATTGCAATCCTCAATAACTTGAGGCTATAAATCAGGCTCATTACCTTTCCAAGTGTGGAAAAAAATAATATATTTGAGGAGTAATGTTTTGGGGACTTTCTTAAACAGATCCTGAGTCAACAAACTTGTGTTGTTACCCTCCAGTAATGGTTGTTCATCCTACTCATCTTGGATCATGACCTTCTGTGAAACCTTCAGAGACATTGGCCTCAACTAATATCCAACCATTCATCTTATCTTCCTTTAAAGGCCACATAATAACCATGGACATAATCTTTAAGCTTCTCCCAAAGCATAACAGTGTCTGTTAACCAGCTCTTAAATTGGAGGTGGTGATGGTGCGATCGTTGGAAGAAAGTTGCTATAGCTCTTTTATCATTTCGGTTGGTCTTTTCTGCATCACTTATACCATGCTCCATTAAAATGGGAACCATCCAGAGGTGGTATTCAACCGGTTCAGACAAGTTCGGGCAAATCGGTAGCGGAAATCATGGGTAGAACCCGCCCATGCGCCCCGGTTCTATGTCATCCTATTTTGGCAGATTTTTAAAACCAGGTGTATCTGCAGAAGGCATGTATGCAAGCAAACCGCATGCACGGGAGGCCATGCACATGCGCGGAAACGCATGCACACTCACATTTGCGAACCGGTAGGGAAAGTAAGTGACTACCACCCCTGGAGCCGTCCAACCCAGCAAAAAGGAAGGGAAACTAACAAAGAAGGATAACTAATAGTCTTCACTTCTGCTTTCATTCTGGGAGGATTCCATGAGGGCTAATTACCTGAGTGCAGTTTGGTTACGGTAGAGCTGAGACACATAGCAGTCAGAGACCCAGGAATGGGTGTGAAGGAACAGCACATTGTAGACAACAAGGCAAAGTATCAGCATGGTCAACTTGAGCTCAAAGTTCATGTGGAGGAAGAGGGAACACGAGAGGAATCCCAGGACACAGCAGTAGATATAATACTGAGGGGGGGAGGGGGGAGAGAGAATGGGAGGAGGAAGAAGAGAAGCTATTGGTGAGATTGGTAGGTCCATTAATCAAAGAAAAAAGAAAAAAAAGGAGAATTGATTAAAGAGCTCAACCTTACCGGCACACTGAAGAGGGAGTTAAACCGAGAGAATTCCTGTACAGTATTCATGCTTGATAAGGTAGAATTTTCAAGCTTCACAAAGCATGAGGTTTCTGGCATAAAGAACTAGGAAGCAGAATTAGAGAACACATTAGAAGGGAAGAAGGGATATAATCTTTCTGATCTTGACTAGATAGCAGAAGACATGCATGACTTAGATTTGGCCATATGCCGAGGATTCTACAACCCATCTGTTTCTCAGTCAGTATGGTAAAAGCAGTGGTGGGATTCAGCCGGTTCGGGTCAGTTCGGGCCAAACCGGCTGTCTGGCCTCTCCCCTCCCCACCCTTCCCCTTCCAGAGGTTCCCACACACCACATGTTTGCTCCTAGGAGGCTGCAGGGAGGCCTACTAAGCCCAAAACAGGGCACAGGAGGAGGCACGCTCCCCCTGTGGCCCGTTTTTACTCCCGGGGGTTACAGGAGGTCGAATGCTGCCTGTCCTCTGGCCACACCCACCATGGCCATGGCCACGCCCACCCAGCTGGTCATTAGGGCAGAGAACCAATTGTTAAATTATTTGAACCCACCACTGGGTAAAAGCAATATACCATATACCAACTATCAATGGTCAGAGAAGGAACATTGGAGGGTACTCAGATTTCTCCATCCTGAACCCTTGCAGTATCTTTTATATTCAGATTACTGGAGCAAAGGCCAGGTAGAGAATTAATAGGAGCCAGGGTAGTGCAGTAATTAGAATGCAGTATTGCAGGCTATTTCTGCCGACTGCCGGCTGCCTGCAATTTGCAGGTTCAAATCTCACCAGGCTCAAGGTTGATTCAGCCTTCCATCCTTCTGAGGTGGGTAAAATGAGGACCCAGATTATTGGGGGCAATATGCTGACCCTGTAAACCACTTAGAGAGGACTGGAAAGCACTGTGAAATGGTATATTTGGTATTTGGTATAAGTGGTATTGCCAGTACTTTTATCCCCATGCAGATTGAATTGATTGCACATCTAGCAACATTGGCTGAAACAAGGTTAGATGGAGTGATACTTAGATGGAAGACTAACAGGAGATCCCAGATGTATAGGTTAGACTAGGAAGAAGGCGGAGGTTCATTCTCCAATCTTGTGGGTTGGTTTCCAAAAATTTCATTACCAGGCTAGGGAAAATCTTCAGCAGGGTTTAGGGGATCCCCTAAACTCCGCTGAAGATGTTACCTAGCCAGGTAACAAAACGTTCGGAAGCCAACCCGACACCAGTGGTGGGATTCAAATAATTTAACAACCAGTTCTCTGCCCTAAGGACTGGCTGGATGGGCGTGGCCATGGTGGGCGTGGCCAGGTGTGTATGATAGGCAGCACTCGACCTTCTGCACCCCCCTGAGAGTAAAAATGGGTTGTGGGGGGCACCACCACCCCGTGCCCCATTTTGGGCCTAGTAGGCCTCCCTGCAGCCTCCTCGGAGCAAAAACAGGCCATGGGGGGTCGCCGCACCCCCCTGCATTCTGTTTTAGGCCTAGTAGGCCTCCCGGCAGCCTCCTGGGAATAAAAAAGGGCCACAGGAGGACTGCACCGCACCCCCTATGACCTGTTTTGGGTCTAGTAGGCCTCCCTGCAGCCTCCTGGGAGCAAAAACGGGTCGTGGGGGGGGGGACACTGCACCTCCTGCTCACTCCATTTTGGGCCTAGTGGGCCTCCATGCACTTACCTGAGAGCCAAAATGGGGTGCATGGGGACTCCTGGAAGGGGAGGGGAGGAGCCAGCCAGCAATTTAACAACCAGTTCGCCTGAACCAGCCCGAACCGGCTGAATCCCACCACTGACCCACACACTCGGAGAGTGAACCTTCAAACTCATCCTGCACCCAAATTACAGATATTCGCTACTATTGCAGAGCTAGACTGGAAATTGACAAAGCATCCTGAAAGAAGGCAGTGGCAAACTACTGCGGTCCCAATGCCAAAAATATAATGTCTAGAATTCAAGCACAACTTTGCTTTTGAAAAACGTATGCAAATGCAATTCATTCTTTCATCCATGAAGCCTCTTAGCATTAAAATTAAATGTGCTTTGTTCTCCCAGGCTACAAGGAGTTCTTCCCAAGTATCTTGAACCTTTCCTCTTCTTCCTCCCCCAAATATTCTATTTCTCTCTCCTTCCCATTCACTAGCAACATACCAAATTCAACACGGACATTGTGAGAACCACAAGAATGGTGATGATGCCCAAGGAGACACGTAGCCATGGCTGAGTGCAAACATTGGCCAAGATGGATGGAACCCAGTACAAGATCTTGGGACCTTTCAGGAAACATTTCTGTGTGCAGAAAACAAAAATGATATAAGCACCCATAGAGCCAAAATCTTAGATTCCTTTCTCTTACTACTCCAACAATCTTCTCCTGACATTGAAAAGTCTATTTAAAAACAACAAGAATAATTCCCAAATACTGTTTTTATTTGTTTGTGTATGGGAACTGTACTTTAGCTTTCATTAAACAGAACAAGAAAAAATAAAATGGAGCTCACGTTAAAAATAATAGACAAACCCCATCAATATATGAAGGGTCCTTGGAGTTCTTGTGAGCTTGATTGTTTTCTTGCAAATATTTCATTACTGAAACAAGGTAACATCATCAGTGCTACCCTGTTTCCCCCAAAATAAGACATCCGATAATAAGCCCAATTGGGCTTTTGAGCGCATGGCAATAAGGCCAAGCATTTATTTCAGGGTTCAAAAAACAGGGTCTTATTTTCGGGGTCTTATTAAAATAAGACAGGGTCTTATTTTGGGGGAAACACAGTAGTCTAGATTAGCAGAAAACAAATATGCTCAGAGAGCACTAAGGACTCCTGAACTACAAATATTCTCCTTTATTGGTACCCATCAATACAATCAAAATAAACAATACGGGGACAAAAATACAATAAATTAAGGTACAGATTTGTGACTGCATACGTCTATTCCTTCCTTTGGACCCAATTATGAGGGAATATCTTATCCACTTTGGCAAGCTGTGTCTTTTTAACAGCTTTGTGGAAGCATTTAGACAATTAGGTATGATTATGTAACATCTATCCTGTTTCCCTGAAAATAAGACCTTCCCGGATAATAAGTCCAATTGGGCTTTTGAGCATATGCGCTAAAATAAGCCCTCCCCAAAAATATTTAAACACATGTGCAGCCAGTCCCCGCCATTTCCTCTGGTTAGGGTTAGGGAGACAGAACTGGAAATCAGGTAAGACAGCAAGAGAAGCCCCGTCATGCTCCAGGCACCTGAAAATAATAAGACCAAGCGCTCGAAAATAAGGCCAAGCGCTTATTTCAGGGTTCAAAAAAATATATAAGACCGGGTCTTATTTTCGGGGAAACATGGTATTTACATAATAAGTGATAAGCTGCCCTGGAAAAGCAAAGGGAAATCATTAAAACCATTTAAAGGGGGAGTTAGAATATTTTGGATATCAGAGGTGAGTTTCACATAATTTTACCACTGGTTCGCCTCACACCGAAAATGTGCGCACGTGCCTTCCATGCATGCACACAGCCTTCCACACATGTGCTTTGTTCACGTGCATGACATGCACACATGCACACAATTTAGAAAACATGGCTAAATAGGACGGCATAGCGCTGGGGTGCGTGGGCAGGTCACCACTACCAGTTCACCCAAACTGGTCTGAAGGGCTGAATACCACCACTGTTGGACATGTGATGCAACCCCTGGAAAAATACGGCATCCTTCACTTAATCCTCCAAGGAAAGATTGAAGGCAAATGAGGTCCAGGCAGAAGAAAAACATCATGGCTTCAAAATCTAAGGGATAGGTTTGGACAAAACTCAGCTGCACATTTTTGTGCAGCTGTTGATAAAAATAGGATCACCAGAATGATCGCCAACGTTCGATGACGGATATGGCGCAAGAAGAAGAAGAAGTTGTAACATCTATGTGGGGATTTTGTAAACTACTTCTTCCAAGTAAGAGCTAAGTACCCAAAGTCATATACCATCCTGGTTGTATTTTTGATATAGATTGTAGGTAAGAGATGACTTCCTCCTTCACGCACGTCTCTCCTGTAGAAATGTGCTCCGACCTCAACTCTGCTGAGTCCAAGGGAGAAGACTTAAGAGAGCTTAAACACTTTTGATACTTCTCAAAAATGACCTTGCTCCACATAGGGATTGCAACTTCAAAATCCAACCGTAGAGACAGCTTCCAACCAGTCCCAAGAATATGGGCATCTTTTAAATTTGTCAGAAGCCATGGTCCAAAAATTACAAAACTACAATGGACTACAAAGCTACAATGGCCCTGCTCCACTGGTGGTATTCAGTTCACACTGATTCAGGAGAACTAGTAGTGGTGACCTGCGGGTGGGCCTGCTCACTCACCCTGGTGCTATGCCATCCTATTTAGCCACATTTTCTAAGCCATGCACATGCGTGCAAGCTGCATGTGCGAGCAAAGTACTTGCATGGAAGGCCGTGCATATGTGCAGAAGCTTGCTTTGCTGTCTGTCTCTTGTGATCGCTCACATTTTCAGTGCGCGGCGAACTGGTGGTAAAATTGTGTGAAACCAACCTCTGCCCTGCTCGTTGCCTTATTAAAGATCTCCTCTGAGGTTTCTCCTGTGAAGTATCCCCTCCAGAGACTTACCGCCAGGTGACCAGCAAAGCAGGTGAGAAGGAGGAGGAGAAACAGGAAGAAAGAAATTCCATAGGAGATCCCCAGTGCTTCTGTTCTGGATGGAAAAAATAAACGAGGAATCTAGTTGGCTGGCGTTTGTGTAATTCAATGTTTATTTTTTGCTTTGATTGATCTTGAAAAAGAACCACCCACTGAAATAATGACTTCCTGGCATTCTATGCTGGTTCAAGTCTTGCCAATACCAAGGATTCAAATTTACTTTAGCATCCATGAGAGCTAGAAGCCTATTCATTTTCAGTCTCATTTATTGATTGCCACATATATCTTCAAGTGGAAAGTGGCCTTTGATCATTTTCTCCCAGCGTGGCTTATCACAAAGCTACTATTCATTTCAGTCCACATGTTCTGCTCCAAACATCTCCAAACTGGTGCCCACCACAAAACTGGAACTAAAAGTCATGAGGGACTGGAAGCTAAAACATATGTTGAACAGGAACTGGGCATGGCTAGTCTAGTGAAGGGAAGGACCAGGGGAGACATGATAGCAGTGTTTCAATATTTGAGGGGCTGCCACAGAGAGAAAGGGGTCAAGCTATTTTCCTGAAGGCCAGACAAGGAATCATGGATAGAAACTGATCAAGGAAAGATTCAATCTGGAAATAAGGATAAATTTTCTGACAGTGAGAACAATCCACCATTGCCTTCAGAAGTTGTGGGAGCTTCATCATTGGGAGTTTCCAAGAAGAGACTGGACTGCCATCTGTCAGAAATGATGTAGGGCCTGCTTGGGTGGAGGGCTGGACTAGATGACCTACAAGGTCCTTCCAACTCTGTTAATCTGTATCTGTATCATGCTGACTGGAGGATTCTGGTAACTTTAAGACTTTGGCTTTAGAGTTGCACTTCTAAGTACGCCTGCTGCTTAGCACGCATACATTTTAAGAAGAGTATTCAGGGGTAGGATTCAGCTGATTCGGACTGGTTCGGGCAAACCAGATATTAATTTTAATCTGGTTTGCTGAATCGGTTGTTGCAAGGACTGGCTGACTCCACCCACCCCGCCCCACTCCTATGAGAGTCTCCATGCAGCTCATTTTGGATGCCAGGTAAGTGCAGGGCCCAAGTGAAGGCTCTGAGAGGGCGAAAAATGGGCCTACTGGAAGTACCGGAAGTCCAAAAACTGGCCCATTTCTGGCCTCTGGAGGGTCCTCCAGAGCCCAGGGGATGCCATTTTCGCCCTCCCAGAGGCTCGAGAAAAGCCTCCAGAGCCTGGGGAGGGTGAAAACACCCTCCTGTGGTACAGGAGGCCAAATGCGCCACACTCACCATGGCCATGCCCACCCAGCAACCGGGCAGAGAACCAGTTGCTAAAATTTCTGAATCCCACCCCTGAGAGTATTCATATCTCAACTTGTAGAATCACCCCTAGTTTGGGCCGGTCCTGTCTGGATTAACTATCCCTCCCCTATCACTCAATCCCTCCTTACTTATAAACGACAAGGATCTGGATGAGAAAGTTGGAAACGAAGACCAGGAAGCTGCAGGCCGTATAGTAATTAAAAGATGGTAATGGCGAAAGCCGGTACTGAGGGGAAAAAAAAAAAAGAGGAAAATTGAGAAAAATTATACAGGTGGTCCTCGATTTACGACCACCATGGCGCCCAAAATTTATGTTGCTAAGTGAGGAATTTGTTAAGTGAGTTTCGCCACATTTTATGACCTTTCTTGCCACATTTGTTAAGCCAATTGCTGCAGTTCTTAAATGAGTAACACCGTCGTTAAATGAATCTGGTTTCCCCATCGACTTTACTTGTCAGAAGGTTACAAAAAGGGGATCGCGTGACTCCGGGATGCTGCAACCATCATAAATATGAACCAGTTGTCAAGCATCTGAACAGAAATCATGCTGCAACGTTCGTAAGTGTGAAAAACGATCATAAGTCACATTTGTCAGTGCCGTTGTAACTTCAAACAGTCACTAAATGAACTGTTGTAAGTCGAGGACTACTTCTAATCAGCAAATAGAAACATTGGTTCTAGATTACTGGGAGAAATGCCTTTTGGGGTAGAATCTCTTCCCTCTGCCAGATTATTTATTAGGTGTTAATTCTTGTTTAGCTTAGGCTTCTCAATCAACATTTTAAACCATGGTTAATACTGATTTATTCATTTATATTAGCTTGATTGATATAAATCTAAACGAAGTGTTATAATAATCTCCAGCCAATATTGTACAAAACACCACTGTATCAAAATAATATAATGTATTTTGCTTCTTGTATAAGAATATAATAAAATGTCTTTTTTAAAGGAAGAAATAATCGCACTCCAGTTTTTTATAGTTTACCTCCTTCTCCAGAGATTCCTGCTTGAAGTACAATGTGATGCAGTTGAAGTCTTCAGATTTCTTCCATTGCCTACACAAAAGAGAACAAACACATCATGAACTGCCATGACAACATCCATCCATCCATCCATCCATCCATCCATCCACCCACCCACCCACCCACCCATCCATCCATCCATCCATCCATCCATCCATCCATCCATCCATTCATTCAAATTCTATAGCTGCCCAACTCAACCAAGTGACTCTGGGCAACGTACAAGTCTAAAATTTTAAAATAATTACAAGTAGTCCTCGAATTACAACTGTTCATTTAGTGACCATTCAAAGTTACAACAGCACTGAAAAAAGTGACTGGTGGCCATTTTTCACACTTAACAACGGTTGTGGCATCCCTACAATCTCATGATCAAAATTCAAACAATTGGCAACACTTGGCAATTGCAACTCAGCAATTTATGATGGCTGCAGTGTCCTGGGGTCATGTGATCACCTTTTGCGTGACAAGCAAAGTCAATGGGGAAACCAGATTCACTTAACAACTGTGTTACTAACTGAACAACTGCAGTGATTCACTTAACAACTGTGGCAAGAAAGGTCATAAAATGGGCAAAATTCATTTAATAACTGTCTCGCTTAGCAATGGAAACTTTGGGCTCAATTGTGGTGATAACAAAGACAGTCAAACAATAAAAAACATTAATATTTATTTATTCAATTTCTATAGTCTCCTTATCAAATTTGTTGTATTTTGTTCCAGAATGGGACAATTTGCCATGGCCAACTCACCACACCCAACTCATTGTGGCCAACTCAGCATGGCCAGCTCACTAAACTAACTCACCCTGGCCAACATGTCAGAGGACAATTCAACAAATATAAAAGTTAAATTAATTTCAGTCGACCCGTGGCCAATAATAATAAAATAAATAAAGTCAATTCAGAAATACAAGTTATAATAATTTAGATGAAAATGTGGTCACCAATAGTAAAAGTAATTGAATGGAACAATTAAAATAGCATTGAATTGTTCAGCAGTGAGTTGTCCTACAGCAAATTGGTCATGGCAAATTATCCCCGGTAAGTTGGCCATGGTGAATTGGCAAGTTGTCCCATGGTGAGTTGGCTGCAATGAGTTGTCCTAGACCTTCTTGCTCTATTAAATCTCCTTCAGTCTAATTAAGGAATGCTTGCTTTCTCTGTTCCTTCAAAGAAGAAGAGAATTCCTGTGGAATTTTCACAGGTGGTAGACTATGGCATTATTGTGGGTTTTTTTAATGCCAAGATGGCTAAAGAATATACATTTGCAAAGGTCCCCTCTGATTACATGCTCCTTATTCTGGAAGCCTCCTGGGCTTCTCATACTTCCATTTGATTTCTAGTTTCTAGTAGTGGAACATTTATCATTGCAAAAAATAAGTCCTACCCTTGAGGTTAGGACAGGGTGTCAAACTTGATTTCTTCGAGGGCCAAATCAGCATTGGGGAGATGGGAAGGATACCTCCTGCGGCACCCTGCCAGCCAAAATGGGGAGCAGGGGACTGTGGGCCGGCAGAGTGCTGCAGAAGGCCATCCAGGCTGAAAATGGGGTGCATGAGGGATCACGCCAGGGGTGAAATCTACTTACCTTCCCTACCGATTCAGAAGTGCATGCCCCACGCGCATCACGTACATCCGCAGACCCTCTGTACATGCGCAAACTCTTCTGTGCATGAGCAGAGGGTAAAAACCAGGTTACTTCCTGGTTAAAACCAGGAAGTAACGACGATCAGGCAGATGGGCAGAGTCTCGCGCTACCATTGCTACCGGTTCTCCGAACCACCCATCACCCATCACTACCTGTTCGGTCGAACCGGTCCGAACTGGTAGCATTTCACCCCTGGGTCAAGCCCAGCCCCCCGCACCCCTGTTCTGCCTGCCAGAGGCAATGCGGGCCAGTCCTTTGCTATTTCCAGGCCAGCCCTGCAGGCCAGATTTAAGGACCCCTGGTTTAGGACATCTTCCTTACCCTGAAAAAAAATCAGAGAAATGGGCCATCCCATTTCTCTGCCTACAAATAAAGTTCAGAATTTTGAGAAGACCTTTCTACTGAGTATTGTTCCACTTTCTTTCAACAATAGGACACTTCTTGATGTCCCAACTCACTCATATTTCAAGTGTATTAAAGCCACAGTGTAACAAGACAAAAATGTCACACCCACAGATCAACTGTCACTTTCTTGAGGTTTGCCCTTCACTGTATTTGTCCCTCCCTGTTTCTTCATCCCTGTTTACTAAAGATAATCTTTGATTGTTTTAAAACTGGGCCTTGCCAAGAAAGCAAACAAGCACATGAGACTTTCTATCTCCAGTTTTGATGTTTTTGGAGATTCGTTGTCTGAAAGTTAGCACAATCATTGTTAGAACTTTGGTTCCCTCTCCAAAATGTTTTGAGGTTAAAGCACAGAGGGGGAAATATCAGCAATTGCAACGATAAGGGGATTAGGAAATGTGCAGTGCCACATCACGAGGGAAACTCCACCTCTTACAAACTACCACACAAAGTTGAAAGAGTGGAGCTTGTATCATGGAACACAATGTCTTTCAGGACTACTTGTTCTGGAGAGGACACCCTCTGTTGGGAAGTTGAGACATTTTTCATCTCGAAGGACCTCTTAGGAGGATCTTTCCTCTGATCTTATTTCACCCCAACCAAACCAACATCTTGATTGCCTTTTTCATTGACCCCAAAACGCACTTCTGGGAATTCAGTTGTTCAATCAGTTGGAAGAACTTCTCGTCCACACCTTCCAAGTCTTCATCTGGACTTCTGGGGGCACGGCACCTGAAATCCAAGGTGGAGAAGAAGAAAAAACTAGGCCACTTAAGAGAATTTAATGCAAAAAAGGTGCAAGAGGTAAATTTCTTCATACTGAGTTTCTGAATAGGATGAATCCTTCTGAATTTGAGATGTGTCCCTGTATTTCATTTGACAAGAAAGAAGTGAATTGTCTCACATACAGACATACATGTACAAACACACACACACATTGTATACACATCTGATTGAAGGATGGAAGGCTGAGTCAACCTTGAGCCTGGTGAGATCTGAACTGTCAAATTGAAGGCAGCCAGCAGTCAGTAGAAGTAGCCTGCAATACTGCATTCTAACCACTGTGCCACCATGGCTGATCTAACAGTTACACAAGGATTGCAGATGGAAGAACATAGATTCCACCTTAAAACAAACTTAGCACAGTTAGCTTGTCTATCAAGATGTTGGGCACTAAACTTTCTTTAAAAAAATATTTATTTTGAGTCTTCTGCGCTGTTGAGTTAGGTAAACATGGAGTATCCTGCCAATTTCTAAACCTTGCAAGATACCTGCTATCCAGAGGTGGTATTAGCAGGTTTTGACTGAGAACCAGTAGCGGAAATTTTGAGTAGTTTGGAGAATCGGTAAATACCACCTCTGACTGGCCCTGCCCCCATCTATTCTCTGCCTCCCGAGTTCCAGCTGATCAGGAGGAAATGGGGATTTTGCAGTAACCTTCCCCTGGATTGGGGTGGGAATGGAGATTTTACAATATCCTTCCCCTGGAGTGGGGAGGGAATGGAGATTTTACAGTATCTTTCCCCTGTAGTGGGATGGGAATGGAGATTTTACAGTATTCTTCCCCTGGAGTGGGGTGGGAATAGAGATTTTACAGTACCCTTGCCCTGTCATGCCCACCAAGCCACACCCACCAAGCCGTGCCACGTGAACCAAGCCACGCCCACAGAACCGGTAGTAAAAAAAATGAATCCCACTGTTATCAATTCTACAAAACCTTTATAATTAGTACACATTCTCCATTGTGTCATTGTTAGATTAACATCTCTGGTCTTGCTAGCTTTTACATCTCTAGAATCTACAGATTGCTAGTATCAATACTAATACCAATACAAATGAAAAGAGTCTGATTTCATAAGATTTCATAAGATTTCTTCCATTTCTTTTTTTTAAGAAAACTATTTGGTCACATCCATTTTTTTATTTCACTCTACAAACCAATCTTCTCTAACTTGATGTCTTTCAGATGTATTGCATTAGGAAGAGAAGTTTATTTGTGATTATACAATCTATCCAGAAGGCATCAGGTTGGAGAAGTCTGGCTTAAACCCAATACTTCTTCTTACCGTTCCATGGTCAAAGATCCCAAAGAGATATCCTGCAAGAAGATAGAAAAGGGGACGTAATGAATTATATACATTCTTCACTTATAATAACATAAAAACAGAGTTAACAGTTGGGTATATTAGATATAACAATTAGATATTTTTAGATATTTTTAACTGTAAATTGATTTTAGTTGGGGTGTTTTAAATTTATTGGGCCAAAATTTGTTTAATTCTTTTAAAAATTTTAAATTTTGTATGTGATGTTTTTATTCTTGGCTATTCACCGCCCTGAGTCCAGCAGGAGAAGGGTGTTATAAAAATTTAATAAAATAAATATATGTCAGATTAATAACTTGGAAAATATTGCTTCATTTCTATTCAATAGAAATGTTCAATATTATAAGGATTAGCTATAATTGTCTTGTTTCTGAAGAGGTAATTTAGGTACTAGAACATACTGTTTGGACCTATTCTAACAGTACAATATTTTTGGCTTAACATCAACAAAAATTGAGTACAAATTTTAATTTATAGTAATGGATTGCTTATCTTTCTTGTTTTGTCAACATCTGAATTAAGGGTATTTTTTGGGGGTGGGTCAAATGGGCGAGGAAAAAGACTTTTGAGCAATATGGTCATGAATTCCTTGATTGACTGGAGTTATTTGTCTTATAATAACAGTTTTCAGTCATCTTTCTTTCTTTTGTCCTCCCCCGTTTTTTATAAAATTTCTAAAATTCTCAATTTAGCCTCAATATTTTGGATTTTGCTCATAATTATTATTTGTAATTGATATATAAATCACAGGTTTTGTACATTATGCAATGCACTAATTTCATATATATATATGTGAATATATATACGCACAATATATGTTACTGCAAAAGACCCCTCACATAAGCCTGATGATGGCTGATGAGATTCTGTCGAAAAGTCGCTTCTACCCTTTTAGGGATATGTTCACAATTACACGGGAAGAAACCCGAAATATTAACTGTACGTACACACACACACACACACACACACACACACACACACACACATATGATTATGCTATGCATTCAGTCATATCCAACTCGATTATTCTGTGGGCTAGGTCTCTCCACATCTTTTGATCTTGCACTGTTCCTTCAAGTTTTTCTATGCTATGGTGTCCTATATACCACTTCACAGTGCTTTACAGCCCTCTCTAAGCAATTTACGGCATCAGCATATTGCCCCCCAAAATCTGGGTTCTCATTTTACCAACCTCGGAAGGATGGAAGGCTGAGTCAACCTTTATCCGGTGAGAATCGAACTGCCGAACTGCAGACAGCTGGCAGGCAGCAGAAGTAGCATGCAGTACTGCATTCTAACCACTGCACCACCATGGCTCAAATAATTGGACAGACATATTTGTGTTGGTTGTTTGGCTTGGAGGTATGAATTTAAAGTAGTTTTTAGTTTCAAATCTCAATGTAAGCTATTTTGGAAGAAAACTGTACCTCAGCCAGGGAGCCATTGAACTGTCGAACAACTGGCAGCCGGCAGTCAGCAGAAGTAGCTTGCAATACTGCATTCTAATCATTGTGCCCCCATGGCTGTTTTACCACTAATTCTTCCCAACATAATTGCTTTCTCCAGTTAATTCTCCCGCATGACATCGCCAAAACAAATGAGATGCAATTTTGTGATTTTTTTTTTATCCTTCCAGTGACATGCGCTCCAATCCTTCCTTGTGGGTCATCTTTGCTATCCAAATATATGTGTATCCAAGAGTGTAACTACAATGTGAAATAATCTGAAATTCGCAGATATTGTGCCAATCCTATCATGCTATAGAGCCGTGATGGCAAACCTATGGCACGCGTGCCACAGGTGGCACACGGAGCCATATCAGTGAGCACGTGAGCATTGCCCTAACTCAGCTCCAGCATGCATGTGCACACCAGCCAGCTGATTTTTGGGCCTTCCGGGCCCGTCGGAAGTCAGGAAACAGGCTGTTTCTGGCCTCCGGAGGGCCTCGGGGGTGGGGGGGAAGAGGCTATTTTTGCTCTCCCCAGACTCCTAGAAAGGCTCTGGAGCCTGGGTAGAGCTGTAAAAATGGGCCTTCGGGTCCTACTGGAAGTTGGCAAATGGGCTGTTTCTGGCCTCTGGAGGGCCTCTGGGGAATGGGAAGGCTGTTTTTGCCCTCCCCAGGCTCCAAGAAAGCCTCTGGAGCCTGGCGAGGGTGAAAAACGGGCCTACTGGACCCACCATGCCATTGCATACCAAAAGTGGGGGGAGCATGGGTGGATCACGAGCGCATGTATGGGGGGGCGCATTGAATTATGGGTCCGGGCATGCGTGCGCGTGACATCCCCCCACTCCCCTCATTTTTGGCACGCAACAGCAAAAAGGTTAGCCATCACTGCTATAGAGAATGGAACAATGATCAGGTTAGATAGCCAAAAGAATTGTTTCTCCTGCTAGACATACCGAATGGTTATTCCGAACAAATCCTGCTGGCTCTGCTGGCAGATTGTCCAAAGGTTTGAGGTTGGCAAAGGGTTTGGCAGCTCCCCATGATTCCAGGTAGCGAGTCATCCGGACAGAGGCCCTCATCATGAAGCTCTCACCTGGCGCAGGTGAGAGAATGTCACGAGAGCTTTCTTCTTCAGCCTAAACATCGAAGAAACCAGAAATGCAAGGAAGGCTCATGAGTTGCAAATCTCACCCTGTTAGCAAAAAAGTATCTACTCCCAGTTTTGAATGGATTTTTGTGTGGTATAGTCATGCAGAAGAAGGGCTCATTATAGCACTGAGATTAATACAATTTCCCAAGAACCTCATCTGTTGCAAAATAAAAAGGTTTCCTTATGACAGACCCAGAGCTCAATATGGTATCAGAATACTTGCATGCAGAATCTCCCAACAAGGTTGCATATATGCCTAAGCAGTGGGTTGGACTAGAACCGTGATGGTGAACCAATGGTACCACCTGTGGGACACATAACCATATCAGTGGGCACGCGACCTCAGCTCTGGCGCACGCTGATTTTTGGGTCTTCTGGGCCCACCAGAAATAGGGAAACAGGCTGTTTCCTGCCTCTGGAGAGCCGTGGGGGGTGGGAAAGGCCCGTTTTTCTCTCTCCCCAGCCTCCAGAGCCTTTCTAGGAGCCCGGGGAGGGCAAAAACACCCTTCCCCACCCTCCCGGAGGCCCTTTGGAGGCCAGAAATGGCCCGTTTGCCAACTTCCGGTCCCACTGGTCCCACAGGAATTTGGCAAATGGGCCGTTTCTGGCCTTTGGAGGGCCTCTGGGGGGGTGGAGAAGGCCATTTCTGCCCTCCTGAAACTCCTAGAAATCCTCTGAAGGCTGGGGAGAGGAAAAAACAGGCCTACCATGCCATCGCATGCCAGGAGCGGGGAGAGCATGGGGGGGGTTGCGCGCATGTGCGGGGGCAGGGCACATAGAATTTTGGGTGTGGGCACCCCAGGGGTGAAATGCTCCCGGTCGGACCGGATTGCCCGATCCGGTAGTGATGGTGGCGGGTGGTTTGCCCCCCCGCATGTCCAGCTGAGCCACAGGATCATCAGAGGCTTTTTTAAAAAAACTTTTAAAAGCATTTTTTCTACAACCTCTTCCGACGAAAAAATGCTTTTAAAAATAAAAAAAAAGTCTCTGATGATTGCGCGGCTCATCAGATCTGGTGGGCTGATGATCGTGGGATCATCAGAGGCTTTTCAAAGCATTTTTTTCTGCAACCTCTTGGCTGAAGAGGTGGTAAAAAAATGCTTTGAAAAGTCTCTGACGATCCCAGCTGAATTGCCTGATCGGCAGAGAGGTATTTTTTAAAAAGCCTCTCTGACAATCCCAGCTGAGTTGCCTGATCAGCAGAGGCTTTTCAAAGCATTAGAAAAAATGCTTTGAAAAGTTAAAAAAAAAAAAGTTGGCCACACCCACCCAGTCACATTACCCCCCACCAAGTCACGCCCACAGAACTGGTAGTAACAAATTTTACATTTCACTCCTGGGGCACCCCCCCCTCCCCCACTCCTGGCACACGATGGCAAAAAGTTTAGCTATCATTGGATTAGAAGATTTCCAAGGTCCCTTCCAACTTTATTATTCTATATTCTACGTAAGGTCAAATCATTTTTTGCATTTAATACAGGTAATCCTCAACCACAATTGAGCCCAACATTTCTCTTGTTAAGTGAGTTTTGCCCCATTTTACGACCTTTCTTGCCACCGTTGTTAAGTGAATCACTGCCATTGATAAATTAGTAACCTGGTTGTTAAGTGAATCTGACTTCCCCATCTATCTAGTTTGTCAAAAAGTCTCAAAAGGGGATCACATGACCTTGGGACACAGCAACGGTCATAATTATGAACCAGTTGCCAAGCGTCTGAATTTTGATCACATGATCAAAAGGGATGCTACAAAGATCGTAACTGTGAAAAATGGTCATAAGTCATTTTTTTCAGTGCCGTTGTAACTTCAAACAGTCACTATTTGAACTATGGTAAGTCGAGGACTATCTGTATTTCTCTGGGATGTTAGGATGAGATTGTCCCACCACCTATTGCCCAATTATTTTACTCAAGAATAATTGTGTGATTTTTAGAAAATTCTTACGTTACAATCTCCAGCGTCCCTCATCACCTAACTGGGGCTTGTGGGATTTGAAGTTTAATAACATCTGGTCTCTAGAGGCCAATTTGGAAATTGCAGGGTTTGGAATAGCAATTGAATCTCAGAGTTATAATCCATAATAAAAATTGTGGTTTATTGTAGATTCAGCCCTTACTGTGCTTAAAAGAAGATGCAGATATTAGGAAAATATTCAACCCTATTGATAAAAACAACTTCCTGTACAAGTAGGAACTTGAATTTGACATTGGTTCCATCTAGCCACTATGCAGATCTCTTAACATTGAGTATCTTCCAATTATGACTTCTTGGAAAAACCAGAAAGGTGACATACTCTATATACAGGTAGTCCTTGAGTTATGATCACAATTGGGCACAAAATTTATGTTGCTATGCAAGACAGTTGTTAAGTGAATGTTGTCCCATGTTATGACCTTTCTTGTCACTGTTAAGCGAATCACTGCAGTTGTTAAGTGATTTATGCGGTCATTAAGCGGATCTCGCTTCTCCCTTTGACTTTGCTTGTCAGAAGCCAACTGGGAAAGTTGCAGATGGAGATCACACAATCCCAATGTAGAAAGTTAGCACCCACCCACCCACCCCTCCTAGAAGAATGAAGTATTTTGAGAAATATTAAAAAGGCAGTATATTATATTTCCCTGGATGAGAAATGGAGAAACATGCTCTTGGAAAGCAGCCCCCACCTTCCTTAATAGCCCACCACAGATGTCAGCACTTAAGAGATAAAGAGATAGTTAGCTCTATTCATAAGTAAAATACTGCAGGCAGAAATCCATTCAAGACAAGATATTTTGAAACAAAGGCAGAATGGTGGGATTAGACCTCACTCAAGATCCAAACCAGGACAAAGCCATTAAGCCATAATAGGAATGGCCCAACACGCTCTTCATTGCATCAGCAGGCCAAGCTTCAACCAAGCTTGGCTCAGACAACCTACACAGCCAACTATGACCCCTACAACAGCCAATAGAATACATGGTCTTGCACAGGAACAGGAAGTTCAAGTTCAAAGCCCAAGAGAAGGTATAAATACCCCCCAATCTCAACTCCATGTGGTCAGCTGCCTAGAACACATGTTTAGGAATTATAACAGAATAGAATAGAATAACAGACTTGGAAGGGACCTTGGAGGTTTTCTAGCCTAACCCCCTGCTTAGGCAGGAAACCCTACACCACTTCAAATGGTTATCCAACATCTTCTTAAAAATTTCCAGTGTTGGAGCATTCACAACTTCTGGAGGCAAGTTGTTCCACTGATTAATGATTCTAACTATCAGGAAATTTCTCTTTACTTCTAAGTTGCTTCTCTCCTTGATTAGTTTCCACCCATTGCTTCTTGTCCTGCCCTCAGGTTCTTTAGAGAATAGCTTGATACCCTCTTCTTTGTGGCAGCCCCTGGAACACTGCTATCATGTCTCCCCTAGTCCTTCTCTTCATTAAACTAGACATACCAAGTTCCTGCAACCATTCTTCATATGTTTTAGTCTCCAGTCCCCTAATCATCTTTGTTGCTCTTCTCTGCACTCTCTAGAGTCTCAATATCTTTTTTACATCGTGGCGACCAAAACTGAATGCAGTGTCCCAAGTGTGGCCTTACCAAGGCATTATTGGTTTTAGCATTTCACATGATCTTGATTCTATCCCTCTGTTTATGCAGCCTTATGGAGCCATGTGGTTCTGTTTCATTAAACCATCTTTCCAATTAGCCTCCATGTTTCCAGTGTCTTTCTCCTGGCTTGGAACTGAACCAGATGGATATTTCTTCCAACACCAGGATAGTGCAACTATCATAAACACAAGCCTGTTGCCAAGTGTTCGGATTTCGATCACGTGACCATGGGGGGGATACTGCAACAGGCATGTAAAAAATGGTCACCCTTTTCAATGCCACTTCAAACAGTCACTAAACGAATGGTTGTAAATTGAGAACTACCTGTACGAACCATACACCTGTCAAACACATTGTAAATGATCATCACATAGAATGAATCTACTGCATAAAGTTGTTTGGAAGCTCCTTACTCTGGGATCAACAACTAAGAAAGTCTTAATGCGGTTCTCCCTCAAGTAAGAGTCTCGCACACAGCAAACTTCCTCCACGGTGTACATTCCACCCAGGTGTGACAAGGTAGCTTCTGTGATGTGAACTCTCCTGAAAGAGAAATGTTGTAGTAATGAGACCACAAATTACTGTCCACTGTACAGAATCCATTTTTTCAATGAAGGTCAAATCCAAAATAGATTATTAATGTGGATCACTAGACCTCTGAATTAGGTCCATCCAGTTCAGAAAGTTAATTTATCCAGTAGAATAAAATAATATATAATCATCTGGTCAGTGTAAAAAGGTAAAGATAAAGGTTCCCCTCGCACATATGTGCTAGTCGTTCCTGACTCTAGGGGGCGGTGCTCATCTCCGTTTCAAAACCGAAGAGCCAGTGCTGTCCGAAGACGTCTCCGTGGTCATGTGGTCGGCATGATTAAATGCCAAAGGCGCACGGAATGTTGTTATCTTCCCGTCAAAAGTGGTCCCTATTTTTCTACTTCATTTTTTATGTGCTTTCAAACTGCTTCTGTTGGCAGAAGCTGGGACAAGTCATGGGAGCTCACTGTGTTATGCGGCACTAGGGATTCGAATCACTGAACTGCCGACCTTTCGATCAACAAGCTCAGCATCTTAGCCATTGAGCCACCACATCCAGTGTGGTGATGGCCAATTCAAGATTCAATCCAAACCAATGGTCCACACTGGGAAACTGATTAAATCTAGAAATCCAGTTGGATCAGTTTCAAATCTGCTTGCCAAATAAAATCTCTGTGAGATTGAATGACCTTCAAGGTTCCTTCCAACTCTTGTTATTATGTTATGTTGCACCTATATTTTATGTATTTTGCTAGTGCTATATTTCTCTTTTCTCCGCTTGAGGGCAGCACTGCCCATATATTTCAATCAAATTCTGAGAAAACCATAGGAGAGTTCTTAGTCATTTTGCTAGATTGGCTTTAGGCAAAGGCACAAATACTTTTGAAATAAGACAAAAAAAAAAAAAAAAGCTTATTTTATTGGAACAGTGATGGTGAAATAAGCAAAGGGAATAAAGTAGCCAACTGAAAGTGATAAAAGTAGCCAACTTTTAATCTGATCAATATTTTTGAATTCTGAGGGAAAAAAATCAATCCTTGCAGATACTAAATCTGGCCATTTAATTATTTACTCCAGAATCAGATGACTCCCACTCTCTCAGTTGTATCCAGGGGTGAGCTTCAAAAATTTTAGCTCTCTGCCCAGTTGCTGGGTGGGCGTGGCCATGTTGGATGTGGCCTAGTCGACCTCCTGCACCACAGTGGGGGGGGGGCACTTTTTCCCTCCCCGGGCTACGGAGGCTTTCCTCGAGCCTCCGGGAGAGCAAAAACGGCCTCCCCAGGCTCCGGAGGCCCTCTGGAGGCCAGAAACAGGCCATTTCTGGCCTTTCCGAACTTCTGGTAGGTCTGGGTTCTTCGCCCTCCCCGAGCCTCCGTGCATGCCCTGCACTTACCTGCATCCAAAAAGGGGCTGCGTGGGGACTCCTGGGAGGGCTGGGGCAGGGTGGGAGCGGCCAGCCAAGAGTGGGATTTGGGAGTTCTCCAAACTGCACAGAATCTTAGCTAGAGGTTCTCCTGAACCTCTGCAAACCCCCAGCAACCCACCTCTGATTGTATTTAGCTTCACTGTCTTTCATCAGGACCATTTTATTTATTTATTTTATTTATTTGTTTAGACTTATATGTCGCCCTTTCTCTGAGAGGACTCAGGGCGGCTCACATTAATAAAACAGAAGAATAAAACAAAAACTCTGGGTTAAAAGTTACCATAAAATCCCTAAAATCAATTAAAATCCATTTAAAAAACCCCTATCAGTCCAGGCCGGCCAGGCGAAATAGCCATGTTTTTAGTTCGCGGCAAAAACAGCAAAGGTCAGGGGCCATCCAGAGCTCCAGGGGGAGCTGATTCCAGAGGGTAGGTGCGCCCACAGAGAAGGCCCGCTCCGTAGGGGTTGTCAGCCGACACTGTCTGGCCGATGGCACCCCGAGTAGGCCCTCTCTGTGGGAACGCACCGGGCGATGGGGAGCTGTTGCTGGCCGCAGAAGGTCCGCCATGTAGGGCTTTATAGGTAATCACCAGCACCTTGAATCTCACGCGGAGGGCAACCGGTAATTAATTTTACTACCACCAACCCTGATATGGATGGAGATGAATGGAGATGGTAGTTACATCTCTATCTCACCTTTTTTGGGGAAGCACCAAGACTGTAAAAAAACAACCCGTTTTTCATTTTATTCCCAGCACAATCTGCTCCTTCTCCTTTGGTTATCTCACAAAACAATCTCACAAAGGAGCACCTCACTTCCCCACTTCAAGTCAGTTATTTTAGGGACCCCCTGAGAGAAAATTCATCCAAGGAGTAGGGTGAAGTTGTTTGGGTTCAGATATTAGGAAGGATAGAGCAGATGAAGACAGTTTCCAGCTCTTGGTATTCTCTGGGGAGGCTCCTTTCTGTTCCCCATGTGATTTGTGATTGTGGTGACATGCAGATAAGAACACATAGATATATCTGCCGATCAGTATAAACCTGAGGACCTCATGGCAATGAGGCAGAACGCAATTAATGTTGTTAGTTGCTGGGCAAAATCTGATTAATTTATACATATTTTAATCTTGTATTTTATATTTTATATTTGATGTCATGTAGTATGCCTTACTTTAATTATGATGCTTCTTACACAAATAAACAAACAAGCTCTTGGTATCTAGGAAAAGGCCAGGATTGGTCCTTTTAGCCCAAGGTGGGGTCAACTTTCCAAAAAAAATGTCCATAGAAATAATGTGTTGGAGAAGGAATTCTTCCATAGGAAAACTCTCCAAAACAATCACACCTTGCAGAGTGGATTGGACTGTGGGCCTAAGAAACTGGATGGATACATGAAACCAGAATTGTTCATTTTAGCACCACTAACAGTGATGCTAAGGAGACGCATGGCTCAGTGGCTAAGACGCTGAGCTTGTCTATCAAAAGGCCAGCAGTTCAGCGGTTTGAACCCCTAGTGCCACGTAACGGGGTGAGTTCCTGTTAGTTGTCCCAGCTTCTGCCAACCTAGCAGTTCGAAAGCACATAAAAAATACAAGTAGAAAAATAGGGACCAGCTTTGGTGGGAAGGTAACAGCGTTCCATCCGCCTTTGGTGTTTAGTTATGCTGGCCACATGACCATGGAGACGTCTTTGGACAGTGCTGACTCTTTGGCTTTGAAACGGAGATGATCACTGCCCCCTAGAGTCGGGAACGACTAGCACATATGTGTGAGGTGAACCTTTACCTAACAATGATGCTAAATTGGCTTTTCCCTGTTTACTAGCAACACTTTCTTCTTCCTCAGGAAAAAGCATAAAAACAGTCTAGTTGCCTTTTGAAAAAGTACCTTTGAGACAACTAGGACCTGGATGACTGGGAATCTCCACAGACCACAATCAAAATAGTTAATAGTTTTTAACTTCTATATGTATTTGTATTTATTATGGCTGTTCACCGCCCTGAATCCTTCGGGAGTAGGGCGGTATACAAATATGAAAAATAAATAAATAAATAAATAAAAGCACATAAACTTAATTGGAATGTTCACTGCAATTTGTTTCCATGTAATTGGCATCCAATAGAAATCACAGTGATTGTCTGTGTATCGTAAGATACAGTGCACAATGTGTGTTATTCGCATAGTGACCCCATCGTGTTGTGGGGTCACTTGCCCCCTTTTCCCCTCCCCCACAGATTCCTGAATCTGAGTCACTAAAGCCCCACATTCAAAGCTAAACCAAAGACATAAACACCTTCTGTGATATTTGGGAGCACACAGCTCACCCTCTGATTCCTCTCACCCTGGCACGCCTCCTGCCTCCATGTGATTGGCTAATGTCACATCATCAGACCAGACATCATATTGCCACTTTTGAAGACCAATCACCCCACACAGGACATTTCCCGAATGGACTCCAACTCTCATATTGATGTCTACTCCGGTGGCATCACGCAGCTTCCTGAGGGGAAAAAAATGGAACATAGTGTTGATCTATTTCATTAAGCAATCTGAGCCAAGTTTCTAAAAAGTTTATATATCCATGCCTCATTAGATAACAGCACCCAGCCAATGCAGGCTGATATCCAAAAAACTAAGCAGAGTTGGAAGTCATAGTTGAAAATCTTAGCTGTGGAGGGTAAACTCCATTCATAGAAAATAAATTCAGAGTAGGACAATGGCAAACTACTTCTGTATGAAGAGAAGAGGAGAGGAGAGGAGAGGAGAGGAGAGGAGAGAAGAGAAGAGAAGAGAAGAGAGATTAGAACAGAACAGAACAGAACAGAACAGAACAGAACAGAACAGAACAGACCTCGTAATTGGCCACGTGTGATTGGACACAAAGGAATTTGTCTCCAGTGCATAAGCTCACAGTGTGCATATAAACAGCAAGTAATAGGTCATAGATCATAATCATAGTTATAAGCATTAATCATAAATTACAAACAACAATTATTATTAATTATTACTGTTACAGGTACCGTATTTTTTGGAGTATAAGAAGCATTGGAGTATAAGACACACCTTAATTTTTGGGGAGGAAAATAAGAAAAAATCTGATTGGCAGGTGGATCTGCCTCCTGGAATACCCCCAATCAGCTGTTCCCAGAGATGAATTTTAGCAACAGGTTCCTTGGTTGTGAGCTCTGTGCCTTACTTTTTTTTTTTTTTGCTTTTTTTTCTGCCTCTGAAACTTCTGAAACTCTGTTTCAGAAAAAACTTTGTTTTCTGCCTCTGAAAGCCTCCAAAACAGCTTCAGAAAAAAAGCCTCTGAAGCTCTGTTTTTTTCTGTTCAGAAAAAAAGCCTCTGTTTCTGAAGCTTCATTTCTGATGCTTTTTTTCAGCTTCTGAAACCTCTGTTTGAGAAGCTGAGCAGGGCTACATTCGGATGCACCCAGATTTTTACCCTCTTTTTTGAGGAAAAAAGTGTGTCTTATACTCCAAAAAATACAGTAGTCAGTCCTTGTCTTACAACAGTTCGTTTAGTGACCGCTTGAAGTTACAATGAAAGTTACACTGAAAAAAAAGGTGACTTATGACCATTTTTCACACTTACGACCGTTGCAGCATCCCCATGGTCACGTGATCAAAATTCAGATTGGTAACCGACTCATATTATTTGACAGTTGCAGAATCCTGGCATCACACAATCAACTTTTGTGACCCTCTGATCAGCAAAGCTATTATAGGGAAGCCAGATTCACTTTAAAATCATGTTGTTACCTTAGCAACTGCCTTGCTTAGGATCATAAAGTTTGGGCTCAATTGTGGCCGTAAGTCAAGGACTACCTGTATATAAAAACATGGAATTGGCGGTGACATCATCATCCCTGACTCAAAGGAAATTTTTATCTAGATCTTGTGGGTTTTTTTTCCCTCCCTCAAACTTGGCAACATTAAGCTACGTGAACTTCCCAGCATGCCAACTGGGGAATTCCGGGAGTTGAAGTCCACAGATCATAAAGTTGCTATGAAAAACATTGATCTAATTAATAAGTAGTCAGGAAAGTAGATAGAGACAGAGATACAGCATTCTGCAAGTATTAGCAGCAACAAGAACCAATGGAATGATGACATACAATTTTCTATATCCCTGCTTGGAAACAGAAAGTCTTCAGTAAGTTATAACAACATGAACAGTAGTGGCCAAAATTTCCCAAAAGGCCCCAAAAGCCTTTTGGGAAATGTGTATTTTTGAGGTTTGATGGCTAATAACACTTTTTTTTGGGGGGGGGGAGTTTCAAGATAATCATATTCCACTGCTGGAATGGCCTGGGAATAGCCCAGACCTTCTTACTAATTCTTCTAATATCACTCCCAGCGCAACCTTCCAAAGTATTTTTGTCTAATTAAAAATAACTACAATATCTCCAACCTAATTTATGGTGGGGTGGACAGTGGTGAAATTCAATTTTTTTTTTACTATCGGTTCTGTGGACGTGGCTTGATGGGCGTGTCGTGGATTGGTGGGCATGGTTTGGTGGGTGTGGCAGGAGAAGGATACTGCAAACTCTCCATTCCCACCCCACTCCGCAAAATCTCCATTCCCACCCCACTCCAGGGGAAGAATACTGCAAAATCCCCATTCCTTCCCCACTCCTGGGGGAAAGATATTGCAAAATCTCCATTCCCACCCCACTCTGGGACCAGCCAGAAGTGGTATTTGCCAGTTCTCCGAACTACTCAAAATTTCTACTACCGGTTCTCCAGAACCTGTCAGAACCTGCTGGATTTCACCCCTGGGTGGAGATTTCAAGCTGAGTCTCCCCAATACCAAAGGTCTTTTGCTAGACCAATAGAGCTACCTTTTCTCCTTCCTAGAAGTAGCATTACCAATATGAGAAGTTCTCATACTCACTTGATGGACCGACACATGTCAAGTCCCATCTTGACGCAGTTCAGAGCATGGTTCGGCAAAGATACAGGTAATCCAGACACACAATAGTAGCAATCCCCTAAGAACTTGATCCTCATGCATTCATTATCCTAGGGGGGAAAACAGAAATATAATTCCATTCTATAGCCACCATTTTGGTCAGCTAAATAAGAGGAATATTCAGTTTTGGTTTATAGACCACTCAGGGTAGCAAACAAATTTTCAGAATGAAAATAGAATCTAAGAAGATAAAGCACATATTAAAATTAATCATATTCTAGCCATAAAGACCGTTAAGAATGACAGATTTGCAGATTTTCCTAAACTTTGAGAGAATGGAGGCCCAGTAAAGCTTTAGAAGAAGATCCCAAAGGTGCTTTTTTCAGGAGGCAACTGGACTTTCTTGCTTTTTTCTTTTGAAGACATTTCACTTCCCCTCCAAGAAGCTACTTCAACTCTGACAGGATAGCGGGAAATGGAAGGATTGATATTTCTTGCAGACAGCTGGTCATCTGTATCTTTTCAGAGGGTCGTTGAAGCACTTGGAAGTTTATCTGTGTCCTCAGTAGTGCTTCTGGTTCATGTAGTCTGCAACTTTAGGAGAAGGTCATTTCTGTGATGGATTTCTGACAGTGAGGAGAACTACAGAACAGCCTCTCTTGCAGTTCTTAATGATCGGACAGGTTCATAACATGAGAGATGATTCTTTAATGAATCCCAAACCGCTTAAAAAGTCAATATTTAAAAAGATAATGATGTATATTGTTTATTGTAAAATGGAACAGCAGATGAAATATGAAATGGTAATTTGGTTCAATTATGAAAATAATTGAAATTAAGAGACAAAATTGAAATGTTAAAAAGGGTGATGGGGATTTTGAAAAAATACGTTGTAAATGATGAAACAAAATAATTAATTGATGCTATAATAAGAAATTAGGAATTAAGGGCAAGATAGTGATATTGCTTATTATGTAATAAGAAGAGATTAAGATAAAATGTGGAAGGTCAATTGAGTTAAAGGGTTTCAATGTAAGAATTGAATAAGATGAAGTACATTGTTTAGAGCCAAAAAGTGTGATGGGGATTTTGAGAAACATACTTTATAAATGGAGAAATAAAATTATTAATTGAAGCAAAGTTAAGAAATTAGAATTTGGAGGGTGGATGGTGATATTGTTTATATATTATGTATTAGGAAGAGATTAAGATAAAAAAGTAGGGGAAAAGAATATTATGGCAGAAATTGAAATATGTAAATTGTATTTGGAAAAAACAAAAAGGAAGATTGGAATAGAGTATAAAAATTAATAATTAACTATGTTATAAATTGTATAAGATGTGACCCGGTCAATACTCTGTTCATAAAATATGTATGTTAAAGAAAAATTTAATAAAACTTGTTTTTTTTAAAAAAGTCAATATTTGAAATAGTGCTGTGGAAACACTGGCATTCAGCACAGAATTCACAATGCCGGCACTTACTTACTTACTTACTTACTTACTTACTTACTTACTTACTTACTTACTTACTTTTACTTATTTATTTGTTTGATTGCCACCCAACTCACCATGAGGTCCTTGTAAAAGATATCAACAAAGGTATCAATAGGATATCTGAATGGGATGGTCTATGTTGCACCAATTGTCACTTCCAGGTACTTTCCAAAAACAGCCAAGACAGAATATAACCAAGACATAGCATAATCTTTGTGGGTTACCTGATTTATTTGGAGGAAGACCATGACTCACCTTGGCAATCTGATCAAACTTGCCAAAGAGTTCATTGAGCATCAAAACCAGCTCTTTGGGAGAACATTCACTGGCCAAAAGTGTGAAGCCAACAATATCTGCATAGAGGATGCTGTGGGAGGAGAAAGGCAAAGGAAAGAGGAGAAATGCTTCAAAGCATTGTCTACAGCAGGGGTGTCAAACACAAGGCCCGTGGGCCAGATTTGGCCCACGATGTAGCTCCATCCTGGAAAATGTAAGGGGCTGGCCAGCCTGGCTTCGGCCTGGTCTACCCAGTGAGAAGAGGAAACGCCAGCAGTTTGGGGAGTGGAGTCAAACTGGCCATGTTCATCCAGTTGACCATACCCGCCCAGTCAGCCATACTGCCCAGCCCCCCGAGGTCAACCACAACCCTGATGTGGCTTTCAATGAAATTGAGTTTGACACCCCTGGTATCTATAGTGGAGGACTAGCAACCCCTCCAAATTCACCATCTTTCTCTTCTTCCAACTGCAAAAGTCCCACCAAGCAATCTTCCATGTGGCAGATGCCTTCAAATCAAGTACCTGACATTCTGGTGCCTCTTGACATAAAGGTTGTGGAAGTTGTTGGCACTTTCATGCTGGCGCTGGGGCTGGCCTCCATCCCGGAGCCGCTCAATGATCTCAGCCTTCATCTCCAAGGCAATGTAAGCAGGAAGGATGGAGAGGAGCAAATGTTCCTAGGAGGAAGCCAAAGATGGGGAGGAAAAAAAGCATTAATGGAATGTGGAACCTTCTCACAGATGTAGAACTTATCTCAGGTGGGGAGAGCATGAATCTACTCACTGCTGAGTTGTTTTTACACTACAGTTCGTTCGGATTTTGAACATTTCTCAATCACTGTTTGACAGAGCCTTTCTTCAGATGGTGAAAAGTTCTATCTAATCTGCTTAGTTGTTTCAAGATCCAACAAGAGCAACTAGGTAAATATCTCTCCCCGTGTGTTTTTCTCCATATTGCCTTCCACACTCACCTGGTGTCGCTTCTCCGACTCCAGCTTAACTCGAGATTGGATGAGGTTGAAGGTCTCATGGAAGGTCTCGCCCAGGGCCACCTCCATCAAATGCTTGTGATAGGCTCCCACCAAGTTACCACAGACAAAGATAACTAGATTGGCCAATTGCTGGAAGCAGACACAAAGAAAAAGTGAATTGTGATTGATGGGAAGATGGCAGTGCAGGTAGGATGGGCTAAGAGACCCACTTGGATTAATGTCATAAGAAACTTATTGATGAAGCAGTGATTTGCCAAATAGAAACAATGGCTTGGGACAATTTAAGATCCTTCCTGAATAAGTGACCCAGGATCCAGCTTAATCATCTCCAATGGAGCTCCAGGACTGGATTATTACAATCTTGGAAAAGGAGTTGGCTAAGGTTCTGGGAGAATAGGATGTTTCTGCACTGTGATACTACTGTATCAAAAGTTAGAGCAAACTTCAGTTAGATACCGTACTACCAGGTCAGAAGCATTGAAGCGCTTCTGTGGTACCTATTTATCTACTCTTGTTAGCATGATTTCGAACTGCTAGTCAGCAGCAGCTGGAGCAAATGACAGAAGTTTATCCCATCATATACGAGCGCCTGGGCTTCGAACACAGACTTGCAAATTGTCAACCCAGCGTCCTAATCATGTGAGCCATTGTGCTTCTTTTCAGTTAGATTTCACTGAGTTTCCATTCAATTGAAGCACAAAGGTCAACATGAGATTTAGCCTTGGTAAGTCACAAAGAAATCCAGTTATTTATTAGGAGCTTCATGTCCCCACGTTCCCAAGTGAAGCCAGCTCTAACACCACGTAATTTACGTCCCAATCATGATCCTGTTTCCCCCCTTCCCCCAGGGTGTGTCATCAATCACATTTGCCAACAGAGCAATTTTGCTGGTTGTAGAGACCGCTCCCCTCCGTCCGCTGTGGGTAACTCTGGGAGACAACCTTGAGAGAGATAAGTCTGGGATGTGCATCTGTCTTTGGCTCCTGTGCTGTTTCTTTGGTTTCCCATCCCCCACCTTGCCTATGGCAACTCGACAGGCCAGGGATGCTTTCGAGTTGACAGTTGACTTACCTGCACAGCCAGTTGTGAAGGTGAACTGTGGCCCATTGACAGGTAGATACTCAGAACTATGATGTGCGAAAGAGAAGCTACTATACCGGCAACTACTGCATCTTTCATGCCAACAGGCAACATGGTGTAGACAATGAAGATTATGAAGAGGAAGAAGGACACCTTGGGGGAAAAAAAAACATGTCATGCCAGGCAACTTTCCATAAGGAGTCATAGCAGGAAAACATGTGGGTAGAATAAATGCAAATTGAAGTCTTTCCTCAAAGATTCCAGCTTGGAACATAATAGAGAATTTCCAGCTCCCAATACATGAATTTTATTTAACTGATTCTTCCCTGGACAACACTAATTTCCTAAATAACTTGGCAGTTCTTCATCTCTCTCCCTCCCTTCTGAAAATCTCAATGTTTCCCTTCTCATTCCTTTCATACAGAGAGGGGAGGGGAGGGGGGAGGGGAGGAGAGGGGAGGGGAGAGCATAAAAGAGAAGAGGAGAGGGGAGGGGAGAAGAGAGGAGAGGTCAGGGGAGAGAGGAGAGGGGAGAGCATGGGAGAGGGCAGGGGAGAAGGCAAGGGAGAGGGCAGGGGAAAGGTGAGGATAAGAGAGAAGAGGAGAGTATAAGAGAGGGGAGGGGAGGGGAGAGGAGATGATAAGAGAGAGGGGAGGGGAGAGGAGAGGGGAGGGGAAGGGGAGGGGAGAGGATAAGAGAGGAGGAGAGGAGAGAGGAGGGGAGGGGAGAAGAGAGGAGAGAAGAGGGAAGGGGAGAGGGGAGAGGGAAGGGGAGAAGAAAGGAAAGGAAAGGAAAGGAAAGGAAAGGAAAGGAAAGGAAAGGAAAGGAAAGGTTCCATTAACCACCAACTCTGTGGGTGAAAAAAACTCTGTGCTAAAAACTAATGAGAACTTGAAATCAGGAAAATATGTTGGCTAGAACTATTAAACAGAGACATTTTGCCTTTTTACACATAAATCACTCTGCTCATCCAAACAAATAGAGCTGTAGTTGCATTCTAGAGCAGCAAATCCAAAATGAAGCAGCACCAACATCTGGCAGTTTGTGTGTTGTTTGTGTGTGGGTGAGTCCGAGCCAGCCCTATAATGTATTTCATTAAATATTTGTTCAAGAAAATACAACACAAATAGAAAAGAGATCAAAAGAATAAAAGCATAAAGCACTAAGGAATCAATGTAGAATCCAAAAATATCAGTGAGGTTATAGTTTTCCACTATATTATTTGTTAATTATGAATGATTGTACATATCACTTTAAGCAACCATAATTCACTGTTAAGCTCTGAAACTAGGAAAAATCTCAAGGAACCTAGCCTATGCAGTATAAATAATCAAATAAAATCATTATCCATAATAGACTGAGCAAATAAACTAAGCTTAATAGTGACGTTTGGCCATTTAAAGTGATATATTCAATCATGGCAAATTGTGGCAAGTTCTTAAAGAGATGGGAGTACCAGACCATCTCATTTGTCTCTGGAGAAACCTATATGCGGGTCAAGAAGCAACATGAGAACTGGACACGGAATCACTGAATGGTTCAAAATTGGGAAAAGAGTTTGGCAAGGCTATATACTGTCACCCTGCCTATTTAACTTATATGCAGAGCACATCTTGAGAAAGGTGGGACTAGATGAATCAAAAGTTGGAATTAAGATTGCCAGGAGAAATATCAACAGCCTCAGATATGCAGATGATACCACTCTAATGGCAGAAAGCGAAGAGGAACTAAAGAGCCTCTTGATGCGGGTGAAGAAGGAGAGTGCAAAAGTTGGCTTGAAACTCAACATTAAGAAAACTAAGATCATGGCATACCGGCCCTCTCAATTCCTGGCAAATAGATGGGGAAGAAATGGAAGTAGTGACAGATTTTATTTTCCTGGACTCCAAGATTACCACAGATAGGGACTACAGCCAAGAAATTAAAAGACGCTTACTCCTGGGGAGGAAAGCCATGGCAAACCTAGATAGCTTACTAAAAAGCAGAGACATCACCCTGCCAACAAAAGTGCGTATAGTTAAGGCTATGGTTTTCCCAGTTGCAATGTATGGCTGTGAAAGTTGGACTATAAGGAAGGCTGAGCACCAAAGAATTGAGGTCTTTGAACTATGGTGCTGGAGAAGACTCCTGCGAGTCCCTTGGACTGCAAGGCAATCAAACCGGTCAGTCCTAGAGGAGATCAACCCTGACTGCTCTTTAGAAGGCCAGATCCTGAAGCTGAAACTCAAATACTTTGGCCACCTAATGAGAAGGAAGGACTCACTGGAGAAGAGCCTAATGCTGGGAATGACTGAGGGCCAAAGAAGAAAGGGACGGCAGAGAATGAGGTGGCTGGATGGAGTCACTGAAGCAGTCAGCATGAGCTTAAATGGGCTCCAGAGGATGGTAGAGGACAGGAAGACCTGGAGGAACATTGTCCATGGGGTCGCGATGGGTCGGACACGACTTCGCAACTAACAACAAAATTCAGTCCCTCACAGTTAACGAATGATACAGTGGAAAACGATAATCTCGTTGACATTTTTGGATTGAGAATCTGCTCTGCTTTAGTTATCCCATCAAATCAAAATACAGACTCTGTTCACAGAAAAATTCAAATTTTGGAAGAAGTCATAAAATTTACGTCGCGGTAGTTCTCGACAGTTCATTTAGAGACTGTTCAAAGTTACAACGACACTAAAAAAAATGATTTATGACCATTTTTCACACATTTTTCACACAACTATTGCAGCGTCCCCATGGTCATGTGACCAAATTTCAGATGCTTGGCAATTTTATTTATTTATTTATTTATTTATTTTTCATATTTGTATACCGCCCTACTCCCGAAGGACTCAGGGCGGTGAACAGCCATAATAAATACAAATACATATAGAAGTTAAAAACTATTTAGAAACAGTTGATTCACTTTTTTGAGGGTTGCACTATCCTGGGGTCATGTGATCCCCTTTTGTAACCCTCTGACAAGCAAAGCCACTGAGGAAGCCAGATTCACTTAACAACCGTATTACTAACTTAACAACTGTAGCAAGAAAGGTTGTAAAATGGGGCAGAACTCACTTCACAAATGTCTCACTTAGCAACAGAAATGCTGGGGTCAATTACCGTAGTAACTCGAGGTCTACCTGTATTGATCTTGCAAATCACTGCCAGGTTCTTGGAAGATGACTGGAGTTATCATCTCTTCACACTGACGAGCTGGCTTGGCATGGCACCAGGGACCAAAAAGCATGGTGTCCCTTACAAGGAGTCCTCTACAAGCAATCCTCAACTTATGACCACAATTGAGCCCAAAATTTATGTTGCTAAGTGAGAAATTGGCTAAGTGAGTTCCCCCCCCCCCCATTTTACAACTTTTCTTGCCACATTCATTAAGTGAATCACTGCAGCTGTAAAATTAGTAACACAGTCAGCGGATCATCCAACCTTGATGCCTCACCTGGTCCCAAGCGCAAACCACTCCACTGACAAAGATGAATACATAACCCATTGTGATCAGACATATCCAAATGACAGCTGAGAAGAGACGGGTGCATCTCTGGAAGATGTTTTCCATGCACACAAAGACCAAGATCAGGCTGAAGATCAGCAGAGCAATGAATAACGTAATCAGGAAAGCCAAGTTGGAGGAGAAATCCTGGAGAAGAGATGAAAAAAGGCTCTCGGTTAATCTGGTTGCAAAGCCACTGGAAAGTAGAACTATGCTCAATGAGAAGCATATGCTTGACAAAGCATATGGTTTGCCTATTGAACAGTGGCAGATAGGACAGCGCTCCAGAGGGTTAACATCATTGCTCAGAGGATCATTGGGTTGCCTGGTCCCCTCTTTGGAAGAGCTTTATAGCTCCTACTGCCTTAAGGTTCCCCTCGCACATATGTGCTAGTCATTCCCGACTCTAGGGGGAGGTGCTCATCTCCATTTCAAAGCTGAAGAGGCAGTGCTGTCCGAAGATGACTCTGTGGTCATGTGGCTGGCATGACTAAACACCAAAGGCGCATGGAACACTGTTACCTTCCGAACAAAGGTGGTCCCTATTTTTCTACTTGCATTTTTTACGTGCTTTCAAACTGCTAGGAGACAAGTAACAGGAGCTCACTCCATTACGCAGCACTAGGGATTTGAACCATTGAATTGCCGACCTTTCGATCGACAAGCTCAATCTTAGCCACTCAGCTACCACGTGCCACTGCCTTAAGAAAGTTCAAAACATTCTTAAAGATCCATTTCATCCTGGGCACCTTTTTTTTTTTTTTTTGAACTATTACCATCTGGCAGACGGTACAGGACAATAAAAGCAAGGACAAATAGGCTGAAAAACAGCTTCTATCCCAGAGCAGTAACTATATTGAATTATACTGTGTAGTGCAATATTAATGCAATATCAGGGGTTTTCAATTCAATTGTACAGAATGTGAAGGATGTGCATTTTTGTGTGTGTGTGTCTGTACAATGTACACTGAAGGTGGCATTTAATTTCATTGTACGAGGTGCAATGACAATAAAGTAAACTAAATTAAACAGAAGTTCAGAAGCCGATATCTTCAGGTAGTCCTCAACTTACAACAGTTTGTTTAGTGACCATTCATAGTTACAACAGCACTGGAAAAAAGTGACTTATGACCCTTTTGGGATGCTTAGCAACTGGTTCATATTTATAACAATTGCAGCATCTTGGGGTCATGTGATCATTTTTTCTGACCTTCTGACAAGCAAAATCAATGGGGAAGGGGAATTGACTTAACAACCATGTTTCTGATTTAACAACTGCAGCAATTCACTTAATAAACATGGCAAAAAAAGTCATAAAACAGGGCAAAACTTACTTAACAAGTTTCTTACTTAGCAACATCAGATTGGGACTCAACTACGATTGTAAGTCAAGGACTACCTGTACAGCCAAAGGGCTTAAAATAAACAGGCAGAGCAGATCTTCACCAGGGACTACAAAGAGCACATATGGATTACAGCACTCCAGGAACTAGTGGTCCAATGGAGATAGGTCTTTTTTTAAAAAAAAAGTTCAACAAAATGATATTTCGCAGAGCAATGAAGTTTGGATTGTGGCTCTTTAAATGTCCAGATGGCATCCCAGCAACCAATAACTGACAACCTTTCTTCAGGACTCCAATCAGAACCATCAATCATCAGAGGGCTAACTCCAGCAAGCTTTTATAAAACTTGAAGCAGAGGTGGTATTCAGCCGGTTCGGATCGGTTTACCCGAACCGGTAGCGGAAATCACAGGTGGGTCTGCCCACCTGCCCCAGTTCTGTGCCATCCTAGCCACATTTTTGAGGCTGGGCGCATGCGTGGAAGGCACGAGAGAGTGAAAAGTGCATGCACGGAAGACAAGCTTGTTTACGAACTGGGCACGAAGCGAGCCTGCGCGAATGTGGCAAACCGGTAGTAACATAATCTGAAACCCACCGCTGACTTGAAGGCCAAATCTCTCCAACAGTGGTGCCAGGTGATGTAGATCTTCTCAAAAAAAAAACAAAAAACACCGTATTTTTGGGAGTATAAGATGCACCTTTTCCCCCCAAAAAGGAGGGTGAATATCTGGGTGCGTCTTATACTCCAAATGTAGCCCCTTTCTGAAGCTCTGTTTGGGGGCTTCTTTTCTGAAGCTTCGTTTCTGATGCTTTTTTCAGCCTCTGAAACCTGTAGATCTGTTTTAGTTTGGATTTGGATCCAAACTAAAGACTGGAATGAGGTTACATAGGTACTCTTGTAGATAAATTAGGAGGCTTGGATGGGGAAAGGTGACATTTTTAGATTTTCTTTTGTCAGTGTGAGAACTCCCAAGAAATATCATCCTTAAATGGATGATGACACCATTCTGTTAAAGAAGGGGTGTCAAACTCAAGGTCTGTGGGCCAGATCCAGCCCACAGGGTGCTTAAATCTGGTCTGTGGGGCCACCCTGGAAACAGTAAGTGACTGTGGTGCCTCTACCAGCAGAAACAGAGCTTGGGACACCTGTGCGCGGCCCTCCTGGGCGCCATTTTTTTGACCACGACAGCCTAGTGCAGCCCTCTGCTAGTGAAAACAAGGCCTGGGGGGCTGCGTGCAGGAGGCCATCATGGCTGGCCACACTCACCCCGGCCCCCAAAGTCAAAATCAACCCCGATGCGTCCCTCAATGAAATCAAGTTTGACATCCCTGTATTAAAGGTACTGCAGAAGAATCATGTTACTCTACAATGATAAAAATATCAGAAGGAGTTTGGTAGCACCTCTTCTAATTAACAAAATATGAAAATGTGCTACCAGAGTTCTGATGTTTTTGCTCATTCTACTGGATATCTGGCTTTTACAAACATCCCACACTTCTGTCTTTATTAAGAGCTGCTAGAAGAGGTATCGTAGCTCTGGTCTGCATTGTATGAAAGATAGATGAAACCAGAGGTGGGCTTCACATACTGTAGCAACCGGTTCACCCAGCACCAGAAATGTGAATACATGCGCGTGCATGCTCACTTCACTCACGCACACCAGTGGTGGGTTACCCCAGGTTCAGACCAGTTCGCAAGAACCAGTAGTAAAACTGGTGGGAGACCCCGCCCACTGCCCCGGATGTCATCACTGGTGATCTGCGTATCACATAGAGACTGCGCAAGCATGATCCCATTGCGAACTGATAGTAAAAATAAGTAGAACCCACCCCTGACGCACACGCCATCTGCACATGTATGCAGCATCATAAAACATAGCAATTCACTTGTGCGCACCATCCACACATGTGTGCAACATCAAACAACATGGTAATTTGCTCGCACATGCCATCCACGCATGCGTGCGGCTTCACAAAACACAGCGACAGAGAATGGGATTGCGCCTGGGCAGGAGGCCAGTGGCGGGCTTACTCACTGGTCTCCACTACCGTTTCGCCAGAACCAGTAGTGAGTTCATCCCGGTTCCACCCGGTTCCACCGAGCCGGTAGCAGTGACAATATGATGATGTTTTATTTGGCCCCGCCCCCAATCTATTCGCTGCCTTCTGAGCCCCAGATGATCGGCTAGAAGGAAAAAAAACTGTTTAAACTCTTGCTGCGGGGCTTCAAAGGGTCACCCTACAGCTGATCAGTGTTAAAAGGCAGTGTGGTGGTAGACCGATGCCTCCAAAAACAAATGAGTAGACCAGTACCTGTTAGACCGGTGCCTCCGAAAACAAATGAGTAGACCGGTGCCTCCAAAAACAAATAGGTAGACTGTTGCCTGGTAGACCGGTGCCTCCAAAAACAAATGGGTAGTCCGGTACAGCTCTGCAAGCAATTAAAAGCCTGGTAGACTAGTACCTCTGCTAAATCCTAAAGAATTGTGACATGACCATCAAACCGTGCCCACAAAATAAGCCACGTCAACAGAACTGGTAGTAAAAAATTTTAGAACCCACCCCTGGCCGGAACCCATCAAAACCAGCTGAATACCACCTCTGTGTGAAGCCATTATTGTTCTCTGCTTAGCACCAGTAAGGGCCACATTTCCAAAGGGATTTGGAGGAGGGCAACAAAGATGTCACAGGGACTTTAGGACAACCTCTAACAATGCAGGCTGAAGGAACTGGAGATGTTCAATCTGGAGAAAAGAAGACTGAAAAGAGACATGATAAACCGTGTTCGGGTACATAAAGAGAAACTAAGGAATTATGGAAATTAGAAACGAAGACCAGAAGTTTACAGCCACCTAAATTTCATTTAAATATAAGGAAAACACCTGACATTAATTTCTGTACAATGGTGGAATGGTTTATTGGTAGAGATTGTAGGCTCTCTGTGTCTGAAAGTTTTTAAGAAGAAGGTGGACAACCATCTTTCATTAATGATTTCACTGGTTTTCCTGAGGAACCTCAACTAGATAATCTTCATGTTCCCTCTAATTCTGCAGTTTTATCCTATTGGGATCAAATTCTGCAGGTTTTTTTTTAAAAGACCCAAATATTTGCATTTTCCTGGATGGGAAGTTTTTTTCATGGTCACCTGAACTGCTGCTCTCTATTGTTTCCCTCTATTTTTTATCTCTTGGCTGGCGAAGAAGGTGGAGAAGCTAGGAAACTGACTTGGACCTATTTATTCATTCATTATTCATTTATTTTTCCAGAGCACAATTGCCTGGAAAAACTTGCAGCCGTTTCCTAGGCAGGGAAAGTTGTGGGGGGGGGGGGGTTGTCATTACTTGCTTCCTGCTCATTTCAGTAGAGATTCCCAGGGATCAAAAATAAAATATAGACTGTCTACATGATTGCATCTCCAGAAAGGTTAACAGTTAACAGTAACAGAGTTGGAAGGGACCTTGGAGATCATTTAGTCCAACCCTCTGCTCATGCAGGAGACCTGAACTAGGGATTCGAACCACCAAACTGCCGACCTTTCTGATCAACAAGCTCAGTGTCTTAGTTACTGAACCACAAGGGTGAAATGCTACTAGATCAGATCGGTTCAGCCGAACCGGTAGCAGCAGTGGTGGGTGGCTCAGAGAACCGGTAGCAGCAGCAGCAGCGTGAGACTCCGCCGACCCACCTGGATATCATTACTTCCTGTTTTAAACGAGGAAGTAACCTGTTTTTTACCCTCTGTGCATGCACAGGAGGCTTTGCACATGTGCAGAGGGTCCAAAATTGTGTGTGATGCGCGTGCACGAGCGGAGCGATAGTGCACGCACAGAGCACACACTTACGAACCGGTAGGGAAGGTAAGTAGATTTAACCCCTGCTGAGCCACCTAGTCAAGTGTTTTTTCCCTTGGTTTGTTCTGCTCCTAAAATCTTACAGCCCCTCTTTCCAAAGACAACCCGTCCTTCCTCCGCTCTCTTCATTGCAAACTTACCCTACCGCTGGAAAAGGTAGTAGCAATGAGAGCCACGCAGATGCTCAGCACAATAACCAAGAGAAAAAGAATCAGAGGGTACTGTTGGCTCAAGCAATAATAAGTTTGATAGAAGAGGTCTTCTCGGGGCGTGTCACTGGCTGCCCGTGGACGACGCTGGCAGGGCATGGCTCACTGGCTCCTGTGAAGACACACTTTGGAGAAGATCTCACTTAGTCCTCAACCAGCAGGAGTCAACAGGGTGAACAAGGATCCTCTTCTTGACCTATCAGGTATGAAGAATTCCTACATCCATTCCAGGCCATGGTGTCTGAGAAACGGGAAACAGAAACTGTTCAAGGAAGGAGAAAAGTCACAACTGAGCAGAAGGGAGGAGGAGGAGGAGTTCAACCAGATGATAAGAAGGTAGTCCAAACACCAGTAATTTCCGCAGTAGTTTTCAGCAAAATCTCATGCGAGAGAAAACACGTGGGTAGCTTCAGTGCTGGAAAATGTAAAACAGAAAGAACTAGATAAGAAAACAGCAGAAGGAGAGACTGTGATTAAAGATTAATTTAGGCTGCCTTTGAAGCTTTCTCTCTCTCCTTTACCTAACCCCTTATAGACTTTTGCTTGAAAGGAAAACAAATAAGATTTATGGTTCTGATGATTAGACTGGATTGACTGTAGAAAGAAGAAAGTTATGTTGCAACCGTAGAGTAAGAGGTAAGAGGACTACCCCTGAATGCTGCATTCAGTTTTGGTCGCCGTGACATAAAAAAGATGTTGAGACTCTAGAAAGAGTGCAGAGAAGAGCAACAAAGATGATTAGGGGTAGTCCTCGACTTACTGTATGGCCATAACTGAGCCCCAAAATTTCTGTTGCTCAGTTATTTGGTTAAGTGAGTTTTGCTCCATTTTACGACCTTTCTAGCCACAGTTCTAAAGTGAATTGCTGCAGTTGTCAAGGACTGCTGTAAAGAAGATCAGGTCTTCTTTATAAATCCTTTGTTCTGTTTTTTTTTCTCTCTCTCTCCCTTCTAGTTTTCTTTTCCCTCCCCCTTTTTGCATTTTTGCCTTTCTCTTTAATTTCTTTTATTTTTCTTTCGTTACTTTTTAATTTTTTTTAAAAAAAAAACTTTAATAAAAAGTTATATATAAAAAGAAGTTCTTCCTTCAGCTAAAAATTGATCTAAACATTCAGATTTATTTCCTACAGCTTGAATGAATCTTACAGTTTATATCTCACGGTAAGTGTTCATTCACTAAGTGGTCCATAGTGTTTGCATTGTAGGCGTTTAGCATATTTTTGCTATGTCATGCAGCACAATCTGTACTTTTGGAGTTTTCTTTTCTTTTTGTCTTTATTGCTCACCATTACTACCACCCCAAAGCCTTTCTGCCAATTCAAGATCAAGCTTCCGATAGCTGAATGTAATACGAGGAAGTTTAGGCTGGATTTACATATTGCTTAAGTGTAGTTTATTGAACAAACCACAATGGCCCCAGTCATAGCACACCTGAACTCTCCCTCTCTCATTCTCTCTCTCATTTTGTCTCTTTCATTCTGTCATTCTCTCTTTCATTCTGTCATTTTCTCTCTCATTCTCTTTTTTGTCTCTCTCATTCTTTATCTCTCATTCTCTCTGTCTCTCATTCTCTCTCATTCTCTCTCTTTCATTCTGTTTCTCTCTCATTTTTCTCTCATTCTCTCTCTCTCATTTTCTTTCTCATTCTGTCTCTCATTCTATCTCTATCTTATTCTGTCATTCTCTCTGTCATTCTCTCTCTCTCATTCTCTTTCTGTCATTCTCTCTCTCCCTCTTTCTCATTCTCTCTCTCATTTTCTCATTCTGTTTCTCTCTCATTCTCTGTCTCTAATTCTCTCTCTTTCTCATTCTCTCTCTCTCTTTCTATTTCTCTCTCCTTCTCGGTTTCTCCTTCTCTCTATCTCTCCTTCTCTCTTCATTCTCTCTCTCTCTCTCTCAGTATCCCAGATTATTTCCTGAGATTTGGCCTTAATTCTTAAGAATAGATCATGTGAAGTGTTAATACCATTTTATAATGCCTTGATAAGGCCACACTTGGAATACTGCATTCAGTTTTGGTCACCATGATATAAAAAAATGTTGAGACTCTAGGAAGAGTGCAGAGAAGAGCAACAAAGATGTTTAGAGGACTGGAGCCTAAACATATGAAGAACGGTTGCTGGAACTGGGTATGTCTAGTTTAATGAAAAGAAGGACTAGGGGAGACATGATAGCAGTGTTCCAATCTCAGGGGCTGCCACAAAGAAGAGGGAGCCATGCTATTCTCCAAAGCACCTGAGGGTAGGACAAGAAGCAATGGGTGGGAAATTAATCAAGGAGAGAAGCAATTTAGAACTAAGGAGAAATTTCCTGACAGTTAGAACAATTAATCAGTGGAACAACTTGCCTCCAGAAGTTGTGAATGCTCCAACACTGGAAGTTTTTAAGAAGATACTGGATAACCATTTGTCTGAAGTTGTGTAGGTTTTCCTGTCTAAGCAGGGGGTTGGACTAAGACCTCCAAGGTCCCTTCCAACTCTGTTATTCTATTCTATTCTATTCTATTCTATTCTATTCTATTCTATTCTAATATCTTTGGGGGTGGGGAGATACTTTGAACATTATGAGACAGTTGTGTTAGAGCCTGGTAGGCCTTTTCCAACTATCAGATTTATTAAAAAGCATGTGTTTTTGTGGGCTACAGCTTTCTTTATCAGAAAAACAGCTTTTAAAATGTTCGTTTTCCTCTTTCTCTCTTTTTAAGGAGTAATAAAACCCAAGTGACTTAGCAGGGCAGGTAGATCTAGCCAGCTTTCTAGTAAGTCTCCACTTCTAGTTTTTCTGGTATCAAGGAATGAAATAGGTTAGATACCCTACAAGCCCCCTCCCCCCATTTTAGAAACTACACTACAATAGTCCAAGATTAAGAAAACCTCACAGAGTACTTCTGACAGAACTTCTTTCATTTTTAGAATTAACAGTAACAGAGTTGGAAGGGACCTTGGAGGTCATCTAGACCAACCCCCTGCTCATGTAGGAGACCTGTACTAGGATTTGAACCACCGAACTGCCAGCCTTTCTGATCGACAAGCGTAAAATATTCCTTAGTGAATATAATCTCTGAAACGACATGAATGAAGAAGGTGACGAAGAGATTGTCCTGTTTTCCCACCAATCTGATCTCTGGAGGAAAGTCTGCTCACATGGGAATGGACAGAAAGTTGACTTTAAATCAACCATTCACAGAAATTGTTGAGAGAAAACCAAAGAAGGAAGAAAATCCTACAAAGAAGCTGGCCAGAGACTTCCAGAGAAGTTAGTCAGAGAAATCAAAAAGGCAGAAAGAGCCCAGAAACGAAAGGACAAAACAATATCAAAGAAATAATTTATGGATAGGTGAAATAAATAAATACACCCCAAAATAGGAATCTTACATGTTTCTTCCTTCCCTACCTCTCGAATTGTGGAATCAGGAATTTCTAGTCCTACCTTCTTCTGAGAAGTTCCCACACAGATGACTTTTAAAGACTTCCTACAGCACAGGGGCTAGGTGGCTCAGTGGCTAAGACACTGAGCTTGTCGATCAGAAATGCTGGCAGTTTGATGGTTTGAATCCCTACTACAGGTCTCCTGCATGAGCAGGGGGTTGGACTAGATGACCTCCAAGTTCCCTTCCAACTATGTTACTGTTACCAGTGTGGTAGATTTTCTGGGGATCTTTATATCAGAATGTAGACCTGAATTCAGACATCCCCACGTTTAGCTGGACTGACCAAACGTAATGCTCTTTTGTCCCTCTCATTCCCTTAAAGATAAAAGTACTTTGCTAAGTCAAGACAAACTCAGCCAAACTCAAGTCTTTGTCATTCTGGTAAGCAAATATTTATCACAAAATCCCAACTCAGTTCCCTCTCTCTCAAATACAGATATCAGCATCGGTCCTGTGCTCCTACTTGCCTTATTGAGTATAGTGTATGTCCTGCCCGTTGGCTTCCCTGGTCTCTCATCACCCGAATGAAACAGGCAACGTCTTCTCTTCCCTTCCTTGCCACAACGAAGATCTTCCAAGCTCAAACTTATTTCTCAGCGCTTCACCTGATCTCACGATATGCTCACATCTGCCTGCCTGCCGGAATCCTTCTTTGACTCAGCATGGGGTTCCTCTCTTTCTGCCCTCACAGGAACTCTGTCTTCCCCAAAGCCCAGCCCAGTGTCTGAATCTGAGAGGAAAATGTGCCTGCCAATGTTAACCTTTTCCTCTCCAACCACAGCTGGCGTGAGAGAAAGGGAGAGGCTCCGGCACAAATCTTTCAGCACAAGTCTCTATTTGTCCATGCGAGGGAGGGAGGGACAGAGGAGGGAGAGAAGGAAGGAAGGAAGGAAGGAAGGAAGGAAGGAAGTCATTTTGAGCAAAAAAATCATACCCAAAGTCTATTTCCCATTATTTCCCCATCTTTAAATTAAGAGGGAGGGAGGGAGGGAGGGAGGAAGGAAGTCATTTTGAGCAAAAAATTCATAGCCAAATTCTATTTCCCACTATTTCCCCATCATTAAATTAAGAGGGAGGGAGGGAGCGAAGGAAGGAAGGAAGGTGAGGAAGGAAGGAAGGAAGGAATCTACCATTCCCAGAAATACCCTGAGTGAGGGTGTGTGGGTGTAAAATGAACAGAAAGATTTAAAAGACTTGCTTTGGTAAATGTAATTGTGTTGCTATTTAAGCACACATTTTATATTATGTTTTTAATCACAGCCAATTTCCTTCAAGGCTGTAACCTCCCACAACCCTGCAAAATAAGAGAAAAATTTGTGGAAAATTCTAATTAAAGTCTCATCTGGCCTAGTTTACAATCTGATTTTTAAGACCTCCCATGGTAGAGGTATAACACCTAACTTATGTTCTCTTTCTCATACGTTCTTATTTCTACACACTAGTACAAAGGCTTTACCCAGGGGTGAAATTCAGCAGGTTCTGAAAAGTTCTGGAGAACCAATAGCAGAAATTTTGAGTAGTACGGAGAACTGGCATATACCACCTCTGGCTGGCCCCAGAGTGGGGTGGGAATGGAGATTTTGCAGTATCCTTCCCCTGGAGTCGGGAGGGAATGGAGATTTTGCAGTATCCTTCCCCTGCCATGCCCACCAAGCCATGCCCCTCAAGCCACACCACACCCACCAAACCACGCCCACAGAACCGGTAGTAAAAAAAATTGAATTCCACCACTGGCTGTATCCCAATTGTATTTTATTTAGTCTTTTCTATACAATATTTAAGATTGGAAAGCCAAGAGTTCTCTGCCCAAAAAGACATGACTTTGTAAGTGCCTTTGACAATTTATAAAATGGATAAGAAAGAACACTTATTAATAAGCGATAGAAGAAGCCGAAAAGAAAAAAAAAATGGCCTGAAGGAATATTTTGCTGCTTTTCACAGTAGAAATGTCTCTGCAAGCATTTTACAGGAATATACAGAAATAAG